ATGAAAATCAAGGATTTTATGGATTTGACCTTACTTACTGCTAATTATAGTAATTAAGATTAATTTTGTGGTCACCATGACTTGTTCAACAAAATGACATATTTTAAACAAGCATTTTGAGACAAATAACCATGGTGATTTGAAGTGGTTTTACCTATTTGGTAAGTAATAAATTTTATATTTTTAATTTTTTATGTGTTTTTAGACAAACATAAAATATACATTTTAATTTTTGGCCTTTTTATATACTTTTTTCAGATAAATTTTTATTTTTTTGTATTTTTCAATATTTATCGATATTTTTAGAAAACTAGAATACGAAAACTCAAAATTCATAATCAAACACACCATGTTTGTGTTTTGATATTCAAGACCATAACATCTATTATTAGTTCTGTAATGTTGACAACCCCAAACGGCTTAATATGACTTTGTAAATGTTATATAATCATTTATTTTTGAAGTTGAATCTCTTTCGCTTCATCGAGTCTAAATTGTTGGGTTATTAGGTGTATATTTGGATTGGATATATGGTTCAGGGTCCTCTTCTTTTGAGTTAGCTTTTGAAAATTAATATGTTTGTTTAAATATTTAGGATAATATTTTATTCTAATTAGGATTTTTGGAAAATATGATAGAATTTTGAGAATGTTTTGGTACATTTTTGGAAAATATTTTCTTAAAATACTTACATTAATTTTTGACCCTCTAGGTTTGTTAATTTAACTAAACATCCCCACAATAAAAATTTAAAAATTGACAAAAAACACCCCACCTACCCAACTATTGTTGGCAACCAGTCACCATTGCTAGATGGTGGCCGAAAGCCGTCAAAATAGCTTAAGACCGATTGGATTTGACTGATCATGTGCTGATATGGTCATTTTCGGTAGGCATGACAATGTTTCCCAAGATTTCAGGGACCCGTCCTAACCCACCCCATGTAGGGTGGGGAAGCCCTGGGCTTTTTGGGGATTGGGCCGGGGGTGGGGGTGTTTTAATCCCCATCCTCAGGGATGGGGCGGGGTTGGATGATGTCTTTCCCCCGCCCCGTAATATATATAAAATTAAAACTATATATATATATATATATATATATTACCTAATTACACAATTATCCTACTTATATAAACCCATATTTTCCCAATTTCCCTCACCCTAAACAATTGAACAAGAACAAACCCTGACCCATATTTATGTATAATTAATTATGTTTAAATGATTAATTTAAGTGTTTGTCACGTGGATGAGAATTAACTATAGTGTTTGGTAATACTCAAATTAATTTATGTTTATATAAAATTAACGGGGCGGGGACGAGCCTTCAACATTCCCTTTGGGGCGAGGAGGGGAATTCCTGTCATCCCCGTGAGGGGGATGGGGAGGGGTGGGGAGTGATTTTGAGGGCGAGGATGGGTACGGTGAATGAGATCCCCGCCCCACCCTACCTCATTGCCATGCCTAAATTCCGACCAGATTGTGGATCTAGCTAGAAACGGCTAGATCTACGACCACAAATCTGGCCATTGACAACGACCAAGATATCTCACCATCAATGACGACCATATCTTGGTCATCGTTTGGTTGTTGTTGATATGGCCATCGTCAACTACTAGATATATCTGTGGTCGTAGATCAGGTTAGAAAAGACCAGATTGGCACATGACCGGCCAGATCTAGCCAGTTGTGCGCCATTCCAACCATCTTCCAACGATGGTGGCCGACAACCGGCAATAGTTGGGTGGGTGATGGTGTTTTTGTTAATATATAAACTTTTATTGAGAAAAATAATTGTTTAATGTTTTGAGTTGAATAGAATAAGATTGGATTTTGAATCGAATTGTAAATTTTAAGACAAATATGTAGTTTGATAGGATTGTATAGGATAATAAGATAAGATAGGGTTAAAATAATGAAACAAACGGAGTCTCAATTCTTCCCAAATCAATACATTAAAAAAAAAAAAAAAAAAAAAGCCACATGTTATAACTATTTATATCATAGAGTAATAACCTTTTTTTTCATATAAAAAATTAAGAACTAAAACACAAAAAACAAAACAAAGAGAAGAGAAGCAACAAATTAAACCCTCAAAATCAAAATGCACTTAGTTATATATCTTCTTTCCAAGAGGTCCCAACCAATAAACCATAAACTAAAGAGATAAGATCAACTTATTATTGGTTGTTGGCTGCCAAAGAGCGCATGTAGCCCACACTAGCAGTGAAATGGTTGACAAGCTTTTCTCTTGGGGGAAGGCTTTCTTTGATGAGTGGAATTTGGATGAAGTTGTGGCACCATTCATTCAGCAATGGCAATTTCTCACCATCAACCAACTTCATTTCTCCAACTTGTTCCATTACCGGCAGCCAGTGAGGGATCCAACCCAATGCTAGATCCAGATATCCTATTTCTTCTCCACCGAAATATTTCTTTCCTTCAATCTGCTTCTCAAGAAGGGCAAATGGTTCTATTGCAGACTCCACTGCTTTGTCCTTTTCTTCTCCTTCTTTCCAGCAAGCTCCAAATGCACCCATCAAACACTAGTTTCATGCAAAATTAAATACAAGATAATTAGATGCCTTGTATAAGCACAAAGTTAAACACATGATTAATCAAACATATTTTTCATGTACCTTCTCATCAGCAAATTTAGCCCAGAAGCGAGCCATGGCTCTCTCACATGGATCTTCAGGCAGTAAAGGGTACTTTTCTTTCCACAACTCATCGATATATTCAAGAATTACAAGTGATTCAGCAATCGGTTTGTCATCGTGAACCAGCACAGGGACTTTCTTATGCACAGGATTGTATTTCAGAAGGATTGGACTCTTGTTCATTCTTAGGGCCAAAAATCGTCTTGGGCTTGACGGGGCCCAATAACGAAATAAACATGTCACGGCCCAAGGCCTCAACCCAATCTCGATTGGGCCCACGCTTAAAATCACCTTGTGACTTACCCACTCTATAAGTTGGGCTATCCTATAAGTTAAGCTAAACTGAGTTTCAGCCCATTAGCCTGCAACAGAGTATAAATAGGAAATCAGAATCTCATTCTATTTCCTCTTCTTCTAAGATTTCAAATCTCACTCAAACTATTAAACTTGATCTGATAAGGTCAAGAAATCATATCTCTTTCATGATAGGGATTATCTCCCAAAATAGGACTTAGTGTCCTACTAAGATTCCAACTCTTATTTAAATTATTAAACTTAATCTGATAAGATTAAGAAATCATATCTCTTTTATGATAGGGATTATCTCCCAAAAGAGGACTCAATGTCCTACTAGGATTCCAACCCCTTAGGTTCACTATAAAAACAGAGGCTTGCCCTCTCATTAAGCATGCAATCTCTCACAGTCAATCTACACCACTCAAAACCATTTATTTGCTCCTAAGTTTTTGCTCCCAAGAACCCGACGCCTCCGCCGTAGTCCTAGCCTCCGACAAGACTCCTGGTAATTCTTCTTCTCCTTAATTCTTATTAAATCTATTTCAGCCTTGCTGACTTGAGCATCGGAGTGCCTACGGCAAACACCACCTCGGTGTTTTCCGGAAGCTTCACGCTTGCCCTTTCATGTGTGCAGAATTGGCTTAAAGTTGATCCAATCACCTTCACTTCACCCATGTTGATAAGCTTCGATATGAACTGTGAACTCAATTTGCAATTTATTCCAACTATCTTCTGGTGATTATCGATCTAATATAAAGTATTTAGCAAAGAGTTGCCTTGTATGTTTTTCGTTTGAAAAGTCAAATGACTATAAAATATGCGGCCGTGCATTTTGACTTCAAGGATAAACAAAGAAGTTTTATTAATGGAGAATTCGTATATATATGTTTGAATAATAAAAGATAGAGAAAAAGAATATCTTCAGCCTGGACGACCGATTAGCAACCGGAAAGTTCAACAGGAAAAATTCTAAATAAAAGGATTATAATTTTGACTGATGTGACAATTGTAGTAAAAAAATGAAAACAGGGGTTCATTCAGGACTAAAAATAATTAATTAGCTAAATGCATCATTGCTTGCATAGATAGCACCAATATTATTAATGAAATTGAAATTAAAGTAATAATTAAACCAATGAGAAAATTATAAAGATATATATTACAATCCAAACCGTAACATATTACGGGTTTTGATAATTTATAAAGGGGTTTTATATTTTTTATGGAATTTTTGATAATGATATTTTTAATACTTTTTAAAGGATGGGTTGAGTTTCGTTTGAGCAGTCTCATAGAGGAAAATGAAATAAACCCTCTAGATATAGTTCACATAACCTAAATGATTTAAACGAACACGCATGCATAAGAAACACAATAAAATAAAACCAAAATGAAAAGAAAAAAAAAAAAATGCAACCAAAATATAATTAATAAAAATGAAGTTCAACTGATAAAGTGAACCAAAATGACATGAGAAACATGCAGGATGATGTCATTTATTCATCAAGATGAACATCTCGGATTTTGACTTTGTTAAGAAGCAAGTTGACAGAGGAGAAGCTGAGCTGGGAAAATTAGTTATCCTGAGTGCTGAGCTGAAAGTTTTAGTTAGAGTTTGTTAGTGTTTTAGTTAGAGTTAGTTAAACGGTTATTCTACAAGTTATATGTATATATGTATATTGATGTACTAACGAATGATTAATGAGAAGAGTATTTCTTTTCTTTTAATTAGCTTTCAGTTCTTCCAAATACATTTTCTTAACATGTATCAGAGCCTTGTTCTAAGGCATAAAATTCTTGTTTAATCATCATAATTTTTCACCAGATCTGGTTCTGCTCTCTTAATCATTTTTCCTAAAAGACCCCTAATAAAATGCAAAATTTTCATTCAATGCACCTTGGGCTTGCTTAACTGGCTTTACTCTTTCACTAATCACGCAAACGCTGGGATTTCTTCTCCTATTCCCCTCTCTTCAACCTTCCAACCTCTTTATTTCAAACTCCACGTCACAATCCCACTCTCTCAGATATTTTCTCCTCAAAATGATCTGCCGACAAAATTCTCAAACCTGATATTCCATACACATACACATATATCACCTGAATAACAATAATATTTAGAAAATAAGAAACACAATCACAGAAGTCGATCTGTCAAAGAAAGTCGCCGATAGGTACCTCAAGCGCGAAGTGCTCGGTGAAGGTACATACGGTGTCGTTTACAAAGCTATTGATACGAAGGTAAAGTCAATGTAAAACCCTAGCCGTTTATTTCCGATTATTTTATGTGTTTGTCTTTTTATTTTCCCTTATTTTTGTCAGTTTGGTCGGTGATTAGATTTAGCTAATGAAGAGAATTGGGTAATTTATGATGGTTAGCTTTTTAATTTTGTAATTGCTTAGTTTTTAGCTATTTAGAAATGCAAATAGGATACTACACGTTTATTCGTTTCGGTTTATAAGAAAGGATTATAAGGGAAAATCTATAACGGTTGAATTTATTGTTGAGAATGTTATATTCAGAAAATTAAGCAACTCAACTGTGTTTTGTTATTTCTTTTGTTGCCTTTGTCATGGGAAAGAGTTCTTTTAATGACGCTTATTTGATTGTGAAGGCTCTGTTCAATTGATTAAACTAAGTATCATAATCAAGAATTTAATTCTTTTAGTTGCCTCTTTCTGAGTGAATTATTTGAATTTTGGAAGAACTGTTGAATGTTTTAACGTAGTATAGAGACTTGAGTGTTTGGGGAGTAGGTGGTTGAAAGGGTAGAGAAAAGATTAGATGATTGGAAGGCCTTTTTCTTTTTTCAATTTATATATCTTTTTCCCTTTCCCTAAAATATCTTCTAATGGGTGCCAGCAGTATTGCCAATTTTACCTATTTTTCCTTCTCTTTTAGAATATTCCTGTTAGAAGTGCCAAAAAAGATTGAAAACTAACGAGGAAGCTTTTATGGGAAGGGCATGGTGGTGGAGAAAAGCATATTTAGATAGATGATAGTTGGTTTCGTGCCCTAGATGTTGGGCTGGTTTAGGGCTCAGCATCTTGGTTGAAGGGAATTCAGTTGTATTGTAATTGGTTGAAGTATTGCGGGATATAGTTCATTCTTTTGGCTTCACTATGGTCGTGGTTTGAGTTCAGAGGTATTCCTTTTTCTTCATTCACTCTGAATCGGAAGCTGCAGTCCTTGTTGTTTGTCTGTTTATTTGATATGACTCGATTTAGGGGACTGCTTGTTACCACTGTATTTGAAATATCGTGGTCTATTTAATGAAATGTAGTTTGTTTATTAGAAAAAAATAAAATAAACTAGAAATAAGCAGACGATTAAAGGATATTACTATCTGTGAATTGTTGAATGCTATGATTCCATCACAGAAGAAACTGTAATTGGTAATTGGACTACAATCTGGATTTTAATTTGAAATAAATAATAGTATTGCTCTTTCTCTTATTTTCCAATAAGATTTAGCCAGTAAACTTAACCAATCATACGTAAAATCACTGATTAATCTTAAGTAACCTATATAAATGATATCTATGACTTTGATTTTACAACTTTAGTGCCAATTGTTCAATAAATCCTTTTATCTTGATGAAAATATAATGGTTTTTGAAAGAAAAAAAAATGTGTTTGGTGTTTGCAGACAGGACAGACAGTTGCAATCAAGAAAATTGGGCTTGGAAAGCAAAAGGAGGGAGTGAATTTTACTGCACTAAGAGAAATAAAGCTGCTAAAAGAACTGAAAGATCCAAACATTATTGAGTTAAAGTAAGAAATTGTCTTCTAAAGAACAAGTTTGAATAGATAAACACAGACACAGAGAGAAGGGAGGGACTACTGTGTTCTAAATCATACCGCTACTGATAGGATTGCAGGCTCCATCTTGGGTACAAACTCTTCTCCTTCCAAACCTTGACGGCTTTTCCTGTTTACAATCGACCACGTTGTCAACCAACATAACATCAGATTCTCACAAAAGAGAAAAAGCTTCCAACTCTCCAAAGTTCTATCTGCTTAATGACTGTTCCATCCCACAAAATATTATTTATTCACCTCCGTGGTATGAAACCAGAATTATAAAAGTTCGCCAAGTTCATCCTCTAAAAAGGAAATGCTCTGGAACCCAAAACATGAAGACTTGTCAGGCCCAAACAGAGAAGTCATCTCAAGGGATAATTTTTCTGTACGCTTAACAAATTTGAAAATATTGGTTTTCGATTTCCTTCGTTCCTTGTACTTCAGTGATTTTCAATTTCAATAGTTTCTCTAGCTGCATTTTCAATCAAAAGATCTTTCATTCCAATAGCACCAAAATTGAACTTTAAAAGTAAATTTCTCCCATCAAATTGAACTCTCTCTGTTAACCATCATCCAAGCATACCAGTACCAATGGAATACTATCATCTTTTCCACTGATTTATACGACTAGCAGACAAATAAAGTGAAAACTACTAACAAAAAAGTTCTTGCGCAGATAGCTGGGTTTTTGGAGACACTTGGTGGTACAGAGTCTCCTGGCAGAACTTGGATGTTGATCTTCACTGCCGAAGTTCGTGTACTTGCATTGCTTTCTCTTATGTGATTATATATGTGATTTCGAGTTTTCTCATTGAGTTAAAATTCGTCTTGTTATCATTTATATATTGTAGAAGCAATTAAAGGGTGGTCGCTACTTTCCTATTACAGCCGTTCAGAGGTTTGACGCTGCTGTAAGCATCTCTTGTCCTTTTTAACTGATTCAGATTGGTTTTCCATTGTGCAGAAGCACCGGAACCTTCTTGTGAACAGGATTAGATTGGAGAAGCAGGTTACTCTTCCTTTTCAAGTTTTCTTCTATATACTCATATGTTATACCCTTGAGCATTAAAGCCCATTCAATTCTAACACAGAATAGGCTCGGCGAAGCTCCAATAACTTTCACCTCTTCCATTTTTTGAGATATGAAATCCTTTGATCAAACACTAGTTTCTAAATACTAGAGGGGTTCTTAAAATTATGCATTTTTGTGGAAGAGTATAGCAGTATATTCCTTTGAAAACACACAACTTTGACTTTTAACACTTAAATTACCTTAGTCAGGATGTGGATGGTTGAGAAATTGTAGTTTGAAAAACGATGGCTTTTCCTGGTGGAAAGAAAAAAAATTGTAGGTCCCAAGCAATAAAACAAGCCATGAACTAGAATCTAAAGAGTGAAGATCCAACTTATTGCTTTACTTTGGGTGCAAGGCGATGTTTGATGAATGGAGTGGAATTTGGTTGAAGCTGTAGGACCATTCATGAAAGAAAGACAACTATAGAAAGATATATATGAAGAGAAATCAAGAATTTTGATGTCAAAAGAACCAAGGTAATTGAAAATTTATGATAGATACTCGTCCTGTTTTTATTTTTAACGTCACAGTTTCACTCCTTTTTCATATATATGTAAGTTAATTGAAAATAATACCATATATTCTAACCTCCGATCACATTATTCCGGAATCCTAGAGGGTATACAGTAATGTCCACCAGCAATATTCAATTCACATTTCATTTAAGATAAAAAGTTCTGATATTGAGTAGAATTAGTTATTGGTTAATAGCTTTGTCAAAGTTAAAAAGGTAATACGTGAATACGTGATTTCTATTGAACTCTGGTTTTACATTCAAGCCTTACAGTATAAACAGGGTTCCTACTTCCCTTTACATATACAATGCAGTGCATTTTATTCTGCATATCGGATTATAGTTTACACAACTTAAAAGACTTTAGCTTCACTTTGAATACTGAACAACATAACTGCAATACTAAAGGTTGTTGTGACAACTTATACAAGTTTGAACTAATAACATTAGAAAATTGGAAATTGAATTGACTGGACGAGCGCCTTGTAATTTTCACAGCTTGGTTAACTATATTCACAAGTAAAATAAAAATAGACTAATAAATCTATATTATAATTAATTTTTTTTGGTAAGACTGGATCATAAGAAGGAGATTTATTAACAAGAAATAATAACAATAAAAAAAAAAAAAAAAAAAAAACTCGGGATAAGAAGATGTGGTGAAACTTTGACGCGATAAATGTAATGGTACAAAGGAAAAATAAAAGAGCAATACTAGTCTTACAAAGACAAAAACAAAGAGGACATACAAAGACAATTTCTACCCTTCATCTTCATGATTTCTCTCTCTCTTTCTCCCTCTTTTTCCGTTTTTTCTTTGTTTTTTTCTTCCTGCTGATGTCACTTTGTAGCTCTCTTTGTATTATCTTTGTAAGGATAGCATTTTTCAAAATAAAATATTCAAGCACGCATGCATTAGAAACAATAAAATACAACCAACAAATGAAATTAGAGAAGAAAGAAATTGGAGTAATGTGAACCTGGGTACGGAAAACTTGCTGGAATCATGATGTAGGTCTTGAAAAATAAAAGAAGAAGCAACACAACACCCACCAATGCATTAGCAAGAGAGTCTGCTATCACATTTTCTTCAAAAGAAAAAAAAAAAGCATTATTATGTGATGACATTTATTCATCAAGATGAACCTCTCGGACATGAGCAATCTTCGACTGATCGCGTCTGCAGCTTTCACTCAGAGCAGGACAGCCTTGAATCTTCAGTTGTCTGAGGACAGTAAGGCGTTGCATCCCTTCTGGAAGACATGACAAGCTCCCGCAATTTAAAATCTCCAGTGTTTGAAGTGATGTGAGATTTGGCAGCCACTCCGGTAGTTCTTTTAGTTTGGGACAATTTTCAATCATTATGCACTGTACGGTGTTTGCCGATCCTTGAAGAATAAGCTGAGGCAAATCCACTAACGATGGCAAATTGTTAATTATAAATTTTCGAACTCCCAAGCAAAGGTTGTCTTTATCTTCTTCTTGAAATTCCATCTTCAAGTTAAGCTCTGAACAGTATTGAATAGCTACCTTCTCTAATCTCTTGAGGTACTTGATACTATATGGCAACGAGGTCAGGGAACACGATTGAATTTCCAATCTTCGGAGGCTTGTGAGACCTTGCATCCCTTCAAACAATCTTACTAGATTCCCGCAGCCAGATAAGTACAAAAGTTTAAGAGAACTCAAACGTCCAATTCCATTTTCTCGTAGATACCGCTCTTTTGTGGTTATTTCCACATGCCTAAGGGAGATCATCCTTCGTATATTCCTAGGCAACTTCTTAAGCCGATAACAGCCACTAAGTATGAACGTCTCCAACTTCTGAAGCTGACAAATAGATTCAGGAAGTTTCTTCAATGAATAATTATATGATAAGTCAAGGTATCTCAAATGTATCAATGTAGCGACAGACTTTGGCAAGACTTCAAAATTTATATCGTTTAAGTATAGCATTCGCAGGTGCTTGAATTTGGATATGCATGTATTGATAAATGATACACCACTATGCTCGTTTCCTTGCAGACAAATAAGGGACCGAACCGTCTTTGATCCATTATCTAGAACCTCTGGAGTTTTTTGAGCGTTGAAATCAGAGTCAATAACTGAAAAGTGCCGAACGCTCGCATCAACTATTTGGCTTCTGGATTTTATAACAGCACACTCACTTTTTGCCACTGATATTGCAAGATCATGCATAAGATCATGCATTTTAAACCTATAAAATAAATGATAATGTTCCGTAAAATCCTCTAAGAAACACCTTGAGCATAACTCCTTCATACAACGCACAGCAACATCTTCTAACTCTTCAATATCATCATTAGAGGTTGCAAGGACTCCATGTGCCATCCAATATCCGGTGACGTAATCACTGTCATAGATATAATCCTTTGGAAATAAGGAAAGATAAGCAAAACATTGCTTCAAGTGAGACGGCAAATTATCATAGCTCAGTTTAAGTACTGGTAAGATGTCTTCCTTGTCATGTTTCAGCTGCCAGATGTCACTTCTTTTTATTCTTAACCACTCATCTTCATCTGTGTTCGCAAAAAGTAAGCTCGCTAAAGTTCTCAGAGCTAACGGAACTCCTTTACATTTTCCGATAATGTCCTCAGCAATTTTAATGAGGTTTGGAAAATCTTTCCCTTCTCCATCTTTAAATGCGGAGTTTTTAAACAACGATAAAGAATCCTCAAGTGAAAGACCTTGTATGAAATGTGGGGAAACAGTGCCCATTATCTCAGCAACAGTTTTATTGCGTGTACTCACAATAATTTTACTTCCATTGACACCATTCACCAGTAAGTCTTTCAATTCCCTCCATTTCATCGGCTTCTCATTCCAAACATCATCCAAGACAAGCAAAAATTTTTTACCGGTCAAAATTTCTTGCAAACGTCTGGGTATTTCATCGGCTTTTAACTTAGCACAATCCTCATGTGTTGCAGAATAAATAATTTCTTTAATCAACCTAACAACATCAAAGTCGTCGGAAACACATACCCACATCTTTAACTCAAAATGCCTATAGACCCTCTCATCATTGTAAACCATTTTAGAAAGAGTGGTTTTACCCAAACCCCCAATCCCAACTATAGGAATGACGGAGACAATAACATCGCCTGGTTGTGTCAAAATGGCTATGATGATTTCTTTATCCTTCTCTCTTCCAATGACATCAGAAGCTTGGAAGAAGGAATTAGTCTCCCTCTCCTTGGGAATTACATGCCTCACGTCAACATGACTCTCAATAAGAAGAAAAGGAAAATTTCGCCTATCATCTGCGATCTCGTCTAACCTTTCTCTAATCTCCTTGATCTTGTGACCAATTTTAACAGGATTAGAGCTTGAAAAGCATTGACATACCTTTACTGTTGAGCTCCCCTGTTGTGATCTCCTGGAAGCTTGAAAGTCGAATTCATCTAAAACGTCCTCAGCATCATAAAAAACATCCTTAAGCTTCCCAAGCCAGTCACGCAGCTGATGGTTTTGAGTCTGCTTTGTCTCGGCATCCAACAGCACAGCTTTGATGGCACTCATGGTTCGCTGAAGTCTTCTTAAATCACTATCCAGATTCCACAGCAACGACAATTCCCCACCAACAAGGGAACCTATCTTCTTCAAAATTTCAGTGGCAGTGCCGAATACAATGGATTCAGCCATATTTTCTTTGAAGAGAGTGAAAATCAGGTAGTTTAAGAGAAATGATTTAGATAAGAATGGATATTTCAGCGTATTCAGGATCAGTATACTGCTAAAACTAAAACCTTCAAAGTCAACATGTAAATTTCTTAAGATTTCCGCTGCCGGATTGAGACAATCTAGTGTATTATTTTTATTTTGTAGTGGTTAGAAGTAGGTAAAACAAGTGACTTTCTTCTAATGGTATCTAATAAAATAAAGTAAATAGTCGAAAGAAACTGACGTGGGTACTTCTAATAATATAATAAATTAGAAATTTAAATAAAAATATTATTTATTCTTTCAATATTTTCTTTTCTCTCTTTAAACAAAAAAACTCCTTTTTAAATCAAAACCTTTCATACAAAATTATAAATAGGAATCAATAATTGACATATTTGAGACAAACCCTTTGAAACAAATAAAGTAGTAGTTTAAAGTGGTTTTATCTATTCAGTAGAAAATAAATTTCATATTTTTTAATTTTTTATTGTTTGTGATTCTAGACAAACATGACAAACGCGTTTTTAAATATTGGTTTTCAGACAAACATATAAAACTTATTTTTTTGTTTTTTACGTTTTTCAATCATTCTCAATATTTTCAAAAAACTTAAATAGAAAAACTCAAAATTCAAAAAAGAACACACCGATAACTTAATATTATTCTTTGAATAATAATACTAGATTTGTGTACAAACGATGTGGAGTGAATACAAAATATCAAACTCATTATATTTACTCTTCCACTAATTTTATGTCACATTAGTTTGTACTAAGGGTGAGCACAAGTAGTTGATAGAACTGAATTCTATGGGTAGAACCGAAATCGGAACCAGAACCTATCCAAAATTGGCACTGTGCGGGTAGGTTCTGGTTCCATTTTATTGGAACCGACACTGTGCGGTTCCGGTTCTTATGTGTGGAGAAACTGGAACTGGAACCGGAACTTAAAAAAAGAATCTGAAACCAGTACCCAATTTGGAACCTACTTGGAACCTATAGCGGGTACCTGATTTGGAACTGATTTTTGAAACCTGTTTTGGAACCTAGGCTCTAATGAAATATTTGTGAATAATGGAGGGTTTCATTATTTTACATATAAAAAATTTAAAATAAAAAAAGTTAAAATTTTAGAATAACCTAATTAAATAAATATACAATAATACTTATTACACATAAATTACACCATATTAATAACTTTAATATATTATAATATATTAATATTAAAGTTTTGATTAATTAAATATATAATTTGAATTATGATACAATTAAAAGTGTTTTAATGTTATTAAAATAATCATTTTTAAATAAAACAGTATATTTGATTGAATAAAAATATATTTAGTTATTTACTTCAATTATCAAGTTCTAAGTATATCTATAGTAAATTAGTAATTAATTAATTATATATGATAAATTGATAAACATTAATAAATTTAATTACTAGTTAAATATCATACTTAATCAATTATAATATTACATTATAGTTAAATAATTACTTAATTAATTATAATATTATATTAATTAATTACTCCTTAATTAATTGATTTATAATATTAAATATATTATTTAATTAATTAATTATAAATTTAATTAATTATAGCATTATACTTAGATTTCTTACTTCTTCTACACCGAAATATTTCTTTCCTTCAATCTGCTTCTCAAGAAGGGCAAATGATTCTATTGCAGACTCCACTGCTTTGTCCTTTTCTTCTCCTTCTTTCCAGCAAGCTCCAAATGCACCCATCAAACAATAGTTTCATACAAATTTAAATACGAGATTAGAATCCTTGTGTAAGCACAAAGTTAAAAACATGATTAATCAAATATATTTTTCATGTATCTTCTTGTTGATACGTAATTTTGATACCAACCAAACGCACATATGAAATACTGAGCTGGCCCAGAAGACACACGTGAATGAGAGAGTGAGAGTAAAAATAATAGAGAACAACGTTTAAAGTGGTTCGGATGCTCAAAGAAGTGAATCCTACGTCTACTGATTTTGTATTAATAATAATGGTCAGGTCGCGTTTAGCAGACTGACTTACAAATGATTACACGAGAGAGAGAATGCTATTTTTCTTTAGAGAGATTAGCTAATCTCCCAAATAAGAGAAGAGCTCTCAATTTATAGTGGGATGGATTAAGGTTATGATTATTAAATTTGTGAGTTGATGGGATTATACATATAAATCCTCTTTTATGTCTCATTGCCCACCTTCCAGAGTGATTTACGCGATTTGGTGCAGGGATTAAACACGTGGAATCTCTCTAGCTCTTGGCTGGTCTGATGCGTACCCATTGCCCTGACAGGAGCACGCCGTTCATGTCATTGCGTGACGTGGCTGTCTTTGACTGGTTGCGGATCTACCTAAGCTCTGACTTTTTATGCTGAATGGGTCTTGCGTCAGCCCTACTTTTTCAAGCATAACACTTCTCATCAGCAAATTTAGTCCAGAAGCGAGCCATGGCTCTCTCACATGGATCTTCAGGCAGTAAAGGGTACTTTTCTTTCCACAACTCATCGATATATTCAAGAATTACAAGTGATTCAGCAATCGGTTTGTCATCGTGAACCAGCACAGGGACTTTCTTATGCACAGGATTGTATTTCAGAAGGATTGGACTCTTGTTCATTAAATCTTCCACTATGTATTCATATTCAACCCCTTTAAGCTTCAGAGCCCATTCAATTCTCGTGCAGAATAGGCTTAAAGTTGATCCAATCACCTTCACTTCACCCATGTTGATAAGCTTCGATATGAACTGTGAACTCAATTTGCAATTTATTCCAACTATCTTCTGGTGATTATCGATCTAATATAAAGTATTTAGCAAAGAGTTGACTTGTATGTTTTTCGTTTGAAAAGTCAAATGACTATAAAATATGCGGCCGTGCATTTTGACTTCAAGCATAAACAAAGAAGTTTTATTCATGGAGAATTCGTATATATATATGTTTGAATAATAAAAGATAGAGAAAAAGAATATTTTCAGCCTGGACGACCGATTAGCAACTAGAAAGTTCAACAGGAAAAATTCTAAATAAAAGGATTATAATTTTGACTGATGTGACAATTGTAGTAAAAAAATGAAAAGAGGGGTTCATTCAGGATTAAAAATAATTAATTAGCTACTTACATCATTGCTTGCATATATAGCACCAATATTGTTAATGAAATTGAAATCAAAGTAATAATTTGCTAATGCTGGATGTTGACATCAACTATTTGTATGTGTAAAGAGCTAAACTGACTTAGAAATTATATGTGAATGAAAAATGTAATGGAATAAATGAAAGATGATTTTTAAAGTGGTTCAGATGCTTAAAGCGAATCCTACGTTCACTGTTCTTTTATATATATGAGGTTACAGGAGATTGCGTATAGCGAACAACGAGCAGAGGTACAAATGACTAATTATTCAGAGAGAACATCGAGTCAGTCTCTTTCTCGTAGGTTATCTATATTTTGAGAATAAAATGTTATAATTAGAATGCGGGTTTTTTATCAGAATCCCGAAAATGAGAGGGGGTGCCCTCTATTCATAATAGAAGGTTTTTAATGATTACAAATTTGCAAGTAGGCAGGTGTAGTATAATTCCTACCGTGCTTCCCATTGGCTGATTACATAGAAAATATCCTCAAATCGCGTGAAGTTTGGACATGTGGGGGACTTCCATCCACTCATAGACAAAAATTGAGTCAGTCTAGTTGATGACAACCATACTCTTTTTGTCTTTGGACGACGTGGCATCTCTTAGACGACACAAAACCTTCCTAAACTCTGATTGGTGCTTGCTAACGTAAGCCCTGATTTTTTAAGCATAACATAATTAAACCAATGAGAAAATTATAAAAATATATATTACAATACAAACTATAACATATTAGAGGTTTTGATAATTTTATGAAGGGGTTTGATATTTGTTAGGGAATTTTTGATAATTATATGATTTTTTTTTTAATACTTTTTGAAGGATAGGATGAGTTTCATTTAAGCAATCTCATAGAGGAAAATGAAATAAACCCTCTAGATATAGTTCACATAACCTAAAAGATTTAAATGAACACGCATGCATAACAAACACAATAAAATAAAACCAAAATGATAAGAAAAAAAATGCAACCAAATATAACTAATAAAAATGAAGTTCAACTGATAAAGTGAACCTGGACATGAGAAACATGCAGGATGATGTCATTTATTCATCAAGATGAACATCTCGGACATGAGCAATCTTTGAGCCATCGCGTCTGCAGCTTTCACTTAGAGGAGGACAGTCTTTATGTGGATGTGAGCTGGTATCCTAGAGATATTGTAAACCATGTAAATCACGCATCTAATTCTTAGGAGAAATTATAGGAGATTTGTATAGTATTTTCCTTGTATAGAATTCTTCCTAGAATAGGATTCTTCTCTGCTCTGTTTTCCTATTCTGTTCCTAGAATATTTGTATATATATTCTACCTCCATACGTGAGAAGAATACATTGGAATCTATTAAAACCAAGTATCTCTATTTACATGGTATTAGAGTCAGGTTCCTCAAACCCTCCATAATCTTTATTCCTTGAAATTTGTATTCGAAAAAAAAAAATGGAACAATCGAAAACTATTGTTCCAGCAACAACAAGCAATAGACCAATTATTATACAACAAGACAATTCCGTTTTTCCCACAAGTATCATTCTAGGTGAAACTAATTATTCATTATGGTCTCAACTTATGGAGATGCGCATTGGAGCACGTAACAAAGCTGGTTACCTCACCGGAGCAGCGGCAAAACCTATAACTGAAGATCCTAATTTTGGAACATGGATCATGGAAAATCAAAAGGTGAAAAGTTGGCTTATTGATACAATGAGTCCATCACTAATGCAACAATTTATTCGTCTTTCTACAGCCAAAGAAGTATGGGAAGCTGTTTCAAAGACATTCTATGACGGATCCGATGAGACTCGTCTTTTTGAATTGAATCAAAAGTCCTTCTCTATTCGACAAGACGGTAGACCATTGTCTACCTATTACAATGAACTGGTGGCTATTTTTCAAGAAATTGACCACAGGTCAACTTCTCTAGAAGAAACATTTAATCTGATTCATAACAATCAGCAACAAATTTTCTGTATCAGTGTTTTTCTATTGTAACGTATATTCAATCCAAAATATAATACAAAACTAAATAAATGGATAAGTTATATAAAAATGTTCATGGTAAAAAACTAAATAAATGTATAAATTATATAAAAATCGTTATTAACCTGCACAAATCTCTCTAATCTCCCTTTGAACAAATCTCTGTAATCTCCCTTTCCTGTATCTCTCTTTCGACTGTAAAAAATTGGCTATGGTTTGATGAAATGAAGTTTGATGAAATGAACAGATGATAGATTTCGTTATTCACACGGTACCTGGAAAATGAGAAGAAAACGTTTGTTGCGGGAAGAAATGGCTGAGGAATGCAGACGCTGAGACGAGGAACAAACGGCAACGATGAAGCAGAAGGGACGACGAATTTTGGCGCTGGTTTTCTTTCGCTTTAGCTCTTGTAATTGGAGAAGCGTATTGGAGAAGCTAATATAAACAAAAAAATAATTTATTACTAAAACGCGAAATTTTTTTTTTTTTTAAATTTTTAATAACATTATGGACGGATTATGGACGCCCGTCCACAATTAATGGACGGCCGTCCACAAGTTAGGGATGACCGTCCAATATTTAAAAAATATTTTTTTTAAGAATTAATTTTGGACGGGCGTCCAAAACTTACGGACCCCCGTCCAAAATTAAGGGACGGCCGTCCACAATTGGTGGACGGGCGTCCCCATGGAATTTTTTTTTTTTTCATATTTGGGTGAAGGACGGGCGTCCATTATTTGTGGACGCCCGTCCAAAATTAATGGACGGCCGTCCATAGTGGATGGACGGCCATCCCTAAGCTTTTACAAATTTTTTTATTTTATTTTAATAGGGACGGGCGTCCATATTATATGGACGACCGTCCCTAGCATATGGACGCCCGTCCATATTTGTGGACGCCCTTCCAAAATTAATGGACGGCCGTCCATAATGGATGGACGGCCGTCCCTAAACTTTTACAAACTTTTTTATTTTATTTTAATATGGACGGGCGTTCATATTTTATGAACGACCGTCCCTCACATATGGACGCCCGTCCATATTTGATGGACGGGCGTCCATGTGAGTGAACGACCGTCTAAATTCTAGAAAAAAATTATAAAGAAATGGGAGAACGCGTTCCAAGTCTACCACAAAAATTCGGTGCAAAAATTTCGGTGTCCGTAGTGTTATTGTTAAAATTTAATATCTAAAACATGAAACGTTAATGGCCATAAGGGACTGTCTTTATTGTTTTCTGTGTAAAAGTAATGACAATAGGAATTCCAAATCGATGGGAAGCCCTATCAAGACAAGCTCACTTTTCTTCCCTTTTAGAAAAGAATGGGGTTGTATAAACGACTCAAAAATTTACAAATTACGACCTCCATTGTATCGCCAAAACATGGTAGGCTAACGAGAAATAGAGGCAGAATTGACAAACTATCCTCATATGTATCAAAGAAGCTTGCTGGTTCTTCGCCTTGATGGTCCACCAGGGAAGAGCTTCATAATCCATCCCAAGACCCTTTCTACAACCTGATGGGAAAAATAGAAACAAGAGTGTTTTAATGAGAAAATCAGTATGTTGAAAATGAAATAAATCTCTAATGCAAATTTGTTTCGGGCCCAATATCAACCAGAAAAGAGATATTTGCATTTCTGGATAGACATTCATGGGTTACTATATGCTGTGGCAAAAAAATTGTAAAATATTGGGGGCCATATTTAAAGTCATTGATAAATGGAATATCGACTTTCAATGTATATCTGATGAGAAAAAGAAAGTACCTCATCTCCCTCATCTGCATATGGCGTATTATCATGCACAGTGTGAGGCTCAAGCTGTCTGATTGAAGTATTCCCACTAGCCATACTTTGAGCAGTCAGAAGCTCTAGTCTTTGAGTTTGAGCTTCGAGTTTTCGGGACAACTCCTTGTTCAAATCCTTCAAACATTAAAAACAAATGAGGAAAAGAATCACAAGCACGATACAGTACAAAATATGAGAGAATTAGTCATTGGCAAGAAGTAAACAAAAGTGTAATTCTTTTGTGAAAATTAAAGATTGGAAAATAATTAGCTCAAAATCTTGGAAGAAAATATACATCCAACTGGCTCAATCCAAATCAAGCTGAACATGATCAAATAAAAACTGATTCTAACAGTCAATCCACAAGTTGCACCCTAGATATTCCCTTGCCCCAAAGGAACTTTTCTTTTCCTTTGAGCACATGGCCAATTTGAGTCCAACAAATCTAGGAAAACGAAAGGAGTATAATTTTGTATTCGAGTAACGAAAGAAAAGAAAAGAATGGGCAACCTGCACATAAAAAGGACAAGCTAAAACAATTTATGACAAACTGAGAAAAGGATTAGCAGGATAATCATGGCCACTATAAACTCAATGAGGAAACAAATCTGGAAAGTGAAGCAACAAAAGATAAGAGGGAAGCAAATCATAGCATAGCCAAGGTGGCGTGGGAAGACATTAAAACATAGTGTTTTATTCTGAACAAGGCCCTTAACAAGATTGAATGCCTTAAAAAATCAATCAATCAACCCAAAACAAACAAGATCAAAGGCTTTGATACTTTTAGTTGAAATTGTAAAATTAGAACTGTTGAAGTGTATAATTTTATATTAGAATATTAGAATTATAATCAATATATATTAAGAACAAAATCTATAAAATAGAAAGTCAGATTATTCATTTCTTAAATTAGATTATTTGTTTCCCAGATTAGTTCTTTATTTTCCTATATATTGATGTATTATTTTCTAATCATAATACAAGAAATACAAACACACTATTAGTTCTTCCTGATTTTTCACATGGTATCAGAGCTAGGTTGTTAGAAATTTAAATTTTTTTTTTTTTTTCGGGCGACGATTAAGCGTCTCTCTCTGGTGGTCAGAACCTCCATCTAACCATACACGTCTCATCATCTCCATCTCGCCGGCAAAACCTCACAAAAATTGACGTCATCGGTCGCTGCACACCCTCCACGCACGATGTTTCTTTCTGGCAGATCCAACTCCGATCTCCTTTTTCGGCGAGCGTCAGTTCTCACCGCCAACACCAGCTTGCTCAGAAGACGACGAAGAGCAAAACCCACTAAGGTTCTACTGCCTTCGATGTCAAACTCCGATAGCTTCACTAGATTATGCCGCTGTCCTCGCCGGATCTTCTTCTCCGATCTATTTGTTTGCTCTGTGTTACCTCTGGTTCTGGTTTCCAGTCAGATTTGCTAGTTATCATGGTTACTTCCAACTCAAACTCCACTTTTGGTGGTTTTTCTTTCTTGTCTCTCCCATTAATCACCACTGATAAGTTGATTGGGAGTGCGAATTATTCTTCTTGGGCTGCCTCTGTCGAGTTATGGTGTACGGGTCAAGGTCTAGAGGATCACTTGACCACAAAGGCTGTCAACATCACATCAGATAAGTCTTCCTGGATCAAAACTTATGCTTTATTGTGTAATCTATTATGGCAGTCCATTGACACTACTCTGCATTCCATTTACAAAACATACCGCACATGTTGTAAGATATGGAGTTAGGCTAAACTACTATATACCAATGATATTCAATGCTTGTATTCCGTTGTGTCCAATCTCATTCATCTAAACCGTTGTGTCCAATCTCATTCATCTAAAACAACAAGATATGAGTATGTCAAATTTTCTTGGTAAGATGACCTCCTTCAAGGCAGAGTACAATCTTCTCCTACCCGCTGGTAAATCTGCTGCAGAAGATCTAGCACAATGAGATAAATTCTTCATGGTTCTAACCCTTGCTGCTATTAGTCCTGATCTCACTCCTGTACGAGATCAGATTTTAGCTAGCGCTACTGTGCGATCTCTTGATGAAGTATTTGCTAGGTTACTTCGGGTTTCATCCCCAAGTACTATCCCCCAGTTCTACCGCTATTGATTCTTCTACTTTGATTTCTCAGTCTCAAACTACTTATAAAGGAGAACGGGGAGATCATGGTCGAAGTAAACGACCCAAGTGTAGTTACTGTCATCATTGGGGGCATACCAGAGAAAAATGTTACAAATTACATGGTCGCCCTACTCGGACTGCTAATGTTGCTCAGGTTGATCTTCGTTCTAACTCTTCTAAAGGACACACTCAACCATCATTAACTCTCACTGGGGCTGATTATGAAGAATACCTCCAGTTTCAGGCAAATAAGTAGTCTCCTTCATCTATTGCCTTTATCGCTCAATCGGGTAATTCAGTCGCATGCCTTACTTAGTCTTCTTCTCTTGGACCTTGGGTTCTTGACTCAGGTGCCTCTGATCACATTTCTGGTAACCCTCACTTACTTTCTCATTTAACTAATGCTGCATCTTTACCATCCATTACTTTAGCCAATGGCTCCAAAGCTGTAGGTCATGCCAAACCACTTCCATCCTTAGAATTAGACTCTGTTCTCTATATTCCCAATTGTCCATTTAATCTTGTCTCTGTTAGTAAACCTACCCGCTCTCTAAATTGTTCTATATCTTTTGATACCGACTCTGTTGTTTTACAGGATCGAGGGACAGGACGGATGATTGGTATAGGACATGAGTCATAGGGCCTCTATCATCTTCATCTACCATCTATAGCATGCACTGTCACTGAATCTCCAACACTCCTTCATAATCGTTTGGGTCATCCCAGTTTAGTAAAGCTTAAAAAGATGCATCCTAGTCTATCTAATTTATCGTCTTTAAATTGTGAGTCATGTAAGCTTGGAAAACATTCTCATAACACCTTTCCAAATCGTGTCAATAAACGAGTTGCGTCCCCTTTTGAGTTAGTTCATTCAGATGTTTGGAGAACTTGTCGTGTGTCATCTGTTTTAGGTTTTCAGTACTTTGTTACCTTTATTGATGATTACTCATGCTGTACTTGGTTATTCCTAATGAAAACTAGTTCCGAGTTATTTTCCATCTTTGAATCTTTTTCTGCAGAAATTAAGACTCAATTTGATTATGTTATTCGAGTATTACGCAGTGATAATGCTCGCGAGTATTTCTCTGATCCTTTTACTAAATTCATATCTTCTCAGGGAATCATTCATTAGTCCTCTTGTGCTTATACCCCAAAACAAAATAGGGTTGTTGAGTGTAAAAACAGACATCTCATTGAAACTGCTTATACCTTACTTTTACATAATAAAGTCCCTTTTCGTTTTTGGGCGAACGTTGTTTTGACCGCCTATTTCTTAATAAATTGGATGCCCTCTTCTATCCTCAACGACAAGGTACCTCATTCCATTTTATTTCTTGATCAATCATTGTATTCTATCCCTCCTCGTGTCTTTGGGTGCACATGCTTTATCCATGTTTTCCCTCCTGGTTAGGACAAACTGGCACCTAAATCTATTGTGTGTATTTTCTTAGGGTATTCACGTCTTCAGAAAGGATATAAGTGTTATTCTTCATCAACACATCGCTATTTTCTCTCTGCTGATGTTACATTTTTTGAGTTGTCTCCATTCTTTTCTTCTTCTACCTTAGATTGTGAGTCAATAACTACGATCCTTCCCATATCGTCCATTACCAATCTTCTTGAGTCTGTCATAGCCCCACAGTCTTCTACTACCAAGTCTCCCATTACAAACCATAGTCTTGTTCCATTTACAGGTACTACTTCTGATCCGACTAGTGTCCCTGAGGCTCCTGTCGATGGCAGTCCTGCTCCTGATTCCTCCAATGCCACGATCCTCTCTCCTGATGATCAGTTTCCCATTATCATTCGTAAAGGTATATGGTCTATTCGCAACCCTCATCCGATCTATAATTTTTTTAAGTTATCATCGTTTATCTTTATCATATTGTGCATTTGTGTCCACACTTTCTTCTGTTTTTGTCCCTTCCAATGTTCATGAGACACTCTCTGATCCCAGATGACGTTAGGCAATGGTTGATGAGATGATTGCTTCGCATCATAATCACACATGAGAGTTAGTTCCATTACCTCCAGGACATTCAACTGTTGGGTGTCGTTGGATTTATACAGTCAAAGTTAGTCCTAATGGTCAAGTTGATCGCTTAAAGGCTCGATTAGTTGCCAAGGGCTACACTCAGATACATGGGACGAATTATTTTGATACTTTTTCCCTGGTTGCTAAGATGTCTTCTGTCTGCTTATTCTTAACAATAGCTACTATTAAACATTGGCCTCTACATCAATTGGATATTAAGAATATCTTTCTTCATGGTAAACTTCAGGAAGATATTTATATGGAGCAACCTCCTGGGTTTGTGCTCAGGGGGAGTCTATCTTGGTATGCAAACTTCGTCGTTCTCTATATGGTTTGAAACAATCTCCTCGTGCCTGATTTGGACGATTCAGTACTGTTATCCAAAAGTTTGGTATGATTCGGTGCGAGTCTGATCATTCTATCTTTTATAGACATACAACACCAAGGCAATGTATCTATCTAGTTGTCTATGTTGATATTGTCATTACAGGGAGTGATCAAGATGGTATTGAACAATTGAAGAAGCATTTATTCAGACACTTTCAGACCAAAGATTTAGGAATTCTTAAATACTTCCTTGGTATAGAAGTTGCTCGGTCCAAATCTGGTATTGTTATCTCTCAGAGAAAGTATGCACTAAATATTCTTGAAGAAACAGGAATGTCAGATTGCATACCAATAGACTCTCCTATGGATCCTAATTTAAAACTCTCATCTAAACAAGGGGAGCCACTGGCTGATCCTGGAAGATACCGAAGACTGGTTGGTAAACTTAATTATCTCACTATCATATGACTTGATATTTCCTTTTCTGTTAGTGTTGTAAGTCAATTCCTACAGTCTCCATGTGATAGTCATTGGGATGCAGTTGTTTGGATTTTAAGGTATATAAAGGGTGCACCAGGCAAAGACTTGTTATATGAGAACAGGGGTAATTCACATATTGTTGGATATTCTAATGCTGATTGGGCAGGGCCTCCATCTGATAGACGTTCTACTTCGGGTTTTTGTGTTCTTATTGGAGGAAACCTAATGTCTTGGAAAAGTAAGAAGCAAGCTGTTGTTGCCCGATCAAGCGCAAAAGCTAAATATCGTGCAATGGCCTTAGCTACTTGTGAGCTCATTTGATTAAAGCAACTGATCCAAGAGTTAAAATTTTTAAAAGTGTCACAAATGAAGTTACTCTGTGATAATCAAGTTGCTTTCCATATTGCCTCTAATCCAGTATTTTATGAGAGGACTAACCACATAAAAATTGATTGTCATTTTATTCGGGAAAAAGTTCTATCTTGATGTATTACTAATAGTCATGTCAATTCCAACGGCCAGTTAGCAGACATCCTCACTAAATCTCTCAAGGGTCCGTGCATTGATTTTATCTATAGCTAAGCTTGGTGCATATAACTTATATGCTCCAGCTATTGTTGTAGATAATCATGCAAAATCTTACAGATATTGCATGATTAAGTGAATAAATCTATAATAGGATATTAGGATTGTAATCAATACATAATAGGAACAAATCTGTAAAATAGGAGTGTATAAATCTATAATAGGATATTAGGATTGTAATCAATACATAATAGGAACAAATCTGTAAAATAGGAAGTTAGATTTTTTATTTCCTAGATTAGATTATTTATTTCCTAGATTAGTTCTTTATTTTCCTAAATATTGATATATAATTTGTCAATGCAATATATAAGAAAATTACAATCAGTTATCTGTTTGTAACAAGCTTGAGGGAGAGTGTTGAAGTGTATAATTCTATATTAGGAATATTAAGAACAAAATATATAAAATAGGAAGTTAGATAATTCATTTCTTAGATTAGATTATTTGTTTCCTAGATTAGTTCTTTATTTTCTTATATATTGATGTATTATTTTTTTATCATAATACAAGAAATAAAAACATACTATTAGTTCTCTCTGATTTTTCACAAGAACCATACTTCTTATTGAAATTTTAAAATGAGAAGTGTTTTTCAGAATAATGAGGTAAAAGATAAAGGGCAAGGAGATAAGACAAGTGTTTATTCACGTAATAACAGGCAAACTGTTTATTCATGTCAGGCCACTTAAGAAATTGTTATGCCAAAAATGTCAATATCAAGCTAAAATATGTATCATATGTCCACATCATTGCAAGATAATCCGATTCCCATTGGAATTTTTAGTTTTAAGTGACTTAAACTAGGAAATCTTATATTGATTTAAAAACATATTCCTCGTGTAGTAGTCTAACCTGGAAAGAAAATTATTATAGGACATTTATGCTACTTCATGATACGACAGAGGCTTCAAGTTTTTAACAGGTTAAAAAATAAATAAACTGTGACCACAATCAAAATATTCAAATTAAATTCTTCTTTGAGGAGCCTAAAAGAAAGTTATTAACGACTTGAAACACAAGTGCTAACTGTATAATAAATATTTTGGTACAGGTTAAAAGTACCTTCAACTTAGAACTTTGAGATAACTCAGATGATAAAGCTTGCATCAACTCTTCCTTCTCCAACGCTAACTGAAACCAGATAAGGTCCATTTGTGATTTTAATAAGAATACTTTAGCGATCTACTTCAACTTCCACAAAAATGACATTTTATAACAAAATGACAAAATCAGGCGAAAAGACTCTAAATCGTAATGAAGAAAATAATTTACGGGCATTAGAACAAACAATACCTCAGAAGTTAGTGCATTGATATTCTGTATCATTGTCATCTGATCAGATGGAATATTCACAGCTAAAACTTCAAGTTCTAATTGCCCATTTTCAGGTAGCAACAATGAACTGGACATATCAGTTCCAGCATGAGAAACAGTATCATGCATCTCCCGGTTGGAGTTGTCTACAGTAGTATCTGCATTTTTCACATAAATGAGAGAAATTAGTTTAGCACCCAGCAGATAACCAAAAATTAAATAAAAATAAAATAAGAAAACACCTTAGAATTAAACCAACTCTTAAAGAAAAGATCATAAACAATATCCACTATTCACTCATTTAATTGCTTATTTCTACATTTCATCATCTCCAAACTTGAAGAAGCTGAAGTATGTTCACTCACTATTCATAAACATTATAACTCAGATCAACCTCATATCCACACACTCAAACACCAAATCAGAAGGGGAAACAAGATACTTAGAGAAATAAAAATTGGACAGTTTCCTGGATTATAATGTTGACTAAAATTCACAGATAGACATTCTACCCATTGGAGGTCATGAGAGATTAAACTACACGTATATACCAATCCTAACATTCTCAGAATTTAAAGTAACACAATCATTCAGGATGAAGAAGAAAGAGGAGGTCAAAGTGGGCCAGGGTCCAACCAATGTTAAAAAATGCAGCTTCAGATAACTGCACAATAAACTTAAATTTCGGCCCTCTCAATGTATTAGATTAGGCCCTAAATTTTCATAAATCATTTCAGGCTACTACGATGCCTGCCTCTTCCCAAACCCCTGATATTTGCTTATTCAGTAGCACTATCAGCTCATGAATGAACTTAACTGATGTCTATGCTATGCTTCTTGACCAATATTTCATCAGTTACTAAACTACCTAAAGCTTCTATTATTACATCAAATATAGTCTAACCCCTCTGCAAATAGTAAGGGCATTATTGTTTTCCTTAAAACAGAGAATCAAACCCCACAGAAGAAAAACTTTTGTAATTCCAAAATATATTTTTGTTCTTTGAGAGTCCTCTACACATGATAATGAATTCATTTATTTGTTGAATGAAGAAAACCTAGCCAATCATTCTGACAGATTTGTGATCATAAGTAAATACCAGTAAACTAAAAAAGGAATTCTATATTGTCAAATACAGATAATAAAATCAATTCATTTCTGTCTGATGATCATATTAAAGTTACCCTGGGCACCAAGGGAAATTTTAATATCCACAGTTGTAGAATATGCACAAGCCTGGTCTCAAACATAAAGAATTAAATGCATTAACACAATAATAGAGGATCCATACTTCAAACATCTTTGCTATATGTCAAACAAATCCTAGCTTTTAAGAAGTCAAATCACTTAAAACTGAACATCCCAATCCAATTCCATGGAACCAAACTTAAAGTTTTCTAAATCTGCAACAGAGGTTATGGTTCTAAATTTCATTACAGTAAATCCATTCTACTTTTGTGGTGCAACAAAAATGAAAAGAAGATTTAGCTAGCACATCAAATGTTAAAGTCTAGAGGACTGGATGCAAAGTATATCATGCAGGGCACTAAATCCTTAGCAACCAAAATGATCTTGTTAACTTGAATTTTCCTATACAAGCAGACTTGTTGACTAAATCCAACGTCAATATTTACAGAATAGAAATAAGAAAACTAAGCAATGATTACCTAGATCTTCAGTGGAAGTTGACATATCTTTCCTGCTGGTAGAATTCTTATTAAGATCAACAGATTTCCCACTACCAGAAGCTTTCCGAAGCTTAGATTGCAACACCTTCTTCTCTGTGTAATACAAATTAAAATGAGAAGATAAGCATATAATTCAATGTAGACATTAAGTATCATATTGACTCAATATTAGCATCCTCACCTTCTTGAAGAGCATCAATAGTTGACTGCAAATCCTGACGCTCTTTCTCCAGGCTAGACATTTTCCTTCTGCAAGATTCAATTGAAATAAAATGACCTGTTTTTATAAGATAACTTACTCTATATTCTGGAAATATAGTATTCTCAAGTCTCAAGGATGACATCAGATATATTGCAAATTAAAGAAAGATGACAAGAAAAGCACCCCAAAAAATTAATGCAAAAAAAAGAGAAAAAAACAGAGTTATACTCCAGTGTAGGACTTCAGGATGACCAATCCTAAAAATTTCCACTAGGCAAGTTTAAATGACCTATCAATTACATATATCTTCTATATGTAATGTTATTCATGTTTTCCCTCTCATTTTTTTTTTTTTTTTTTTTTTTAAATTTGTTACAGGAAGCATGAAAGTGTCAATAAGAATGCACAATCAGCAAAGCAGGTCTCTAAACATATCAGTACCAAACAGCTCCTCAAAATGCTAGGCATCTTGGTAACTTAAAACCTTTACTTTTCATTTACAACATCTTAAGCAGCTCTTTAAAATGCAACTAGTTTAAGAAAGAATAAGATAAGTCATAAAAAAGAACACCAAAAACATATTAATATTAAAAACAAAGAAAAAATCAACTTTTTTCATCACAATAGGTTCCATTGTTAAGGCAAATGAAAAAGTCTAAGTCTCCAAATACCAGGTGCAAGAACATGAGCTGCCATTTAAAGCAAACATGTAGAAGCTCTGGACAGGATCCAGATTACCTATCTCAAACCTTATCATGGAATACCAACACCAATAATGGACCAACTCAAAATACTGTGATAAAATTCCCAAAATTTCAAATAAATTAGAGTTAATAGCATTAACCCCCATAGGTTTGTTTAATAACAAAAATCTCACGGGGTTTATGAAATAACAGATATCCCACTACAGTTAAATTTTAGGTGTTAAAATAAACAACAGGAGTTATTCAGTAAATATTAGTTAACTTTTATAATGGTATAGGTTCTAACATACCACTAATTGTTCACTAACATTATAGGGATTTTTGTTATTCCAGAAGCCTCAGGGGCAATTTGTTATTTCAGAAACCTCGGGAGAATTTTTATTATTACATCATACCTCAGGGGTCAATGTCTTTAACTCAATAAATTATCATAACCTAATTCATACACATATTAGTTATAGTACAGAATTATGCATTAGAGTAATGTTACAGCCACCGACGGTAGTGCACCGAATTATGTGGTAAAATCTTGACCGTTGATTAATATTAAGTTAAAATTAATCAACGGTCAGGATTTTGCCACGTCATTCGGTGCACTATTGTCGGTGGCTGTATTATTTTCCTTATGCGTTATGACCATCAAAGTTGAAGAACCATTCTATAATTTTCATGCTACTCATAGTATAACAATAATTAGAATTACTAACAAATCCAGACACAGCATCAGAACAAACTGCATGCACAAGGCACAGCTTCTGAACACAAATACAATGTAGGACCAATAATAAGTCCATAGATGCATGAGCTGTACATTACCACATCTTCATATTCGATCACATAAAAATTAAAGCATACTTGTATGAAGAGATTTCAGATTGAGAGTTCTCCAATTGCCTCTCCAGCTTTAGCTCACTCGACCGAAGTCTGAGTGCCTGAAAAGATTATACAAAGAACTGATATTTTAAGGGAAAACAAAATATATCCAATGCCAAAGACCACACAGGTCAACTGTGGATATAATTAAGAACATTAAAAAAAAATATATATATATATATATCTTATTGTTAGTAAAGCTTCAAGTATCAACAAAATTTATGACCTTTTCTTCCAAACCAATTACTTCAGAAGCCAATATCTTGGCACGTTCTTCAGATGCATTACATTCTAGTCGAGCAATTGCATATTCATTTTTGACAGACTCAAGTTCTACCTGCAAAGATGAGATAAAATTTGGTAAGAGAAAAAAAAAATCAAAGAGATGAAATATAGTAACAACATTGAGAAATTCCACCACCAGAAAGCATAGGGAACTAATTAGAACTACCACAACTATCACATATGACACACTTTGTAGAAAATCCATAACATAGCAACATACCCATATATCATTTTTTAGTAGAAAATATCAAACATGGCCCCAGCCAAAATGATATTCCTTCAATTCCTCCAAAGCTTCAAAACAGCACATAGGAGATCATGAAAGGCAAACCATTGTTTAAGCTAATACTTTCACCAGTGTACCAAAATTGGTCCAAGAAAACCTAACTTTCCTATCGTTTATAATACCAAAAATCTTCAGTCTGCACACACATTAATCCATCCTCAACTCTCCAAAAACACCAAAGTGATAGAATAGCAGGACTGCTATACGAAATAGTCATATAATTTCCAGATCTTGATTTTCATTGAATGATTAACCAGAAAAGTAGGGACGAACCAATTAACATAACCATAAGCCTATCCATATCTAATGAAAAATTTGGTACGAGATTAATTAAATGACTATATAATTACTAATCCAGATCCAAGCCCCAATTACTAAATATATTGCTGCATATTGATTTCTTTCATTTAGTATGATCAACACCACCATGAGTGAAAAATTTGATAAAATTTAATTCAAAGCTCAAGAAAAGAATGTCAATCTCAGAAATTTTAAACATTGGAGAAAGCATCTTTTGTTCCTTATGTAGCAAGGGTAAGTACCCATTTAAAAGATATCCCACATACTAAAGACCTTTTGCTTGTGATTTGCAAGACACTTCACATTAATGATTAGTATATATGTTAAACTTTATATACGCACAAATATACACAACTACTCATATAAGTTTAAATTTTTCAGAGTTACATGCATGGCCTCTCGTGTCAGTGCCAGAACACAACTACCATGTCCCTGATGATAAATCATAGCTTCTCATAAATTTCAACTAGCCCCTATCGGACAAACAACTACCTGAAAGCCCAGTCAAATCCCCTACTGACCCAACACATTATGTGTGTTTAGAACTGTTCTACCTGAAATACTTGCTGGAATAAATTCTTTGAACCAAAGAAAAATCACGGAGGAATGAAATTAAACAGGGATGGGACAGAGATGGGAATGAAATTGATACACCTCCTATTCACAAAGTTTATAAGTATAAAAGGGGGAAATAAACTGAAGGGCAGCGGGGTGTAAAAGACGTTATGGGCAGGGGTGTAAAGAGTGTGAAAGGGAATTGGTTAAGGGAGGTAGTTAGAGGAATATACGCGTGTCTAGCTGAGATGAAATGTATATAACTAAAGAATGTGAGAGAGTGTGGGTCTTGAGTGAATTCTGGAAATTGGTTGGGAGGTCCCTAGCTCCTCGAAGTGCTAGGATCCATATTCTATCACTTTATTGCATCTCTGTTTACTGCTATTCCATTGTTATTCTGAATTCATATATGAAATATACCATTTTGGTACCATTAAATTCTGTCTTATCTCTATAGTGTGCACTGTTCCCGTGTGTGGTTGTGTGGAGTCTGATTCAATAGGAAGTGTTTCCATCAGAATTAAATAAGGAATCCCATCCCCACAGCCAATTATATTCAGCTTAATTTTTTATGATTTCAATGAAAATTTATAATTTTCGGTAGTCACCTAATATAATTCTCATATATAGGAAAATAAAATTGTTATTTGCACCATATCAAAACATGAAACTATAAATCTTAGCACGGAATGATTAAATTATATATGATCCATCATATTCAACAATATTATTACTAAGTACTGTGTATTTTTTATTAATATATTAAAAATGGGGCAAGGTTGGGGGTCGAGGATTGAAATACCAACCTTGTCTGTTTATAACCAGGTACAAAATAATCCTGGTCCCCCTTCTTCCCCTCTTGATTAATGATTATTACCTCCCAACCCCACTATATTTGGGGCAGCTCCCTGCAGGTACCAGGGTCCCCAAAAAATTTTGGCATCCCTGATGTTGCTGTCAAACATTGGGGTGAGTTCTATACAATTTGCGTGCTTTTGTATATGCTAGAGCTTAAATGATATTGTTAGGCCTTTATCTATCAATTTAAGCTTTAGACAAAATGATAACTTAACAGGGAAGATGAAGATGCAAAGTTAGAAGACATAAATATCAATACTTTTAGAATATATTTGCAATCCCATCATAAAATGAATTTTCAGCCCATGGAATTCATATAGTAACCAGTAACACAGCAATCAATATACAGACTGGTTTGCACACTCAGTATTCATTATAATTATACGGCACATAGTACACACAGAAAATGTACAAATATATAAGTACATAATATAATGGGAAATTAAGCCTATGGATAAAGCTGCACAAAAACCATGCCTCATAGACATCAAGTTAATAACAATAAATACTAACCAGTTGGGCCTTGATCTCTTCCTGCAACTTCTCCATGTCTGATTTAAGTTGGTTGACAACGCTTCTCTGGTTATAAAACATGCAAGTAATCAAATAAATAGATAATATCAATAGACTAAGAATACAGATGAGATACCATCAAGTAAGATCACCGGGCTATCAGAAATTTCATAAAGCTGTAATGAACAAACACCAGTGCTGTGAACCCTAGGGTACAAACAGGAAATTTAATCCATAGACATTTTAATTTGATAATTAAAAGTAAATTCTCCTTCCCTTGAACTTGGACACCTATTTTATCCTCTGTTCATGAGACAACACACTATAACCCTATTGCCGATTAAATAATCCAATACTAATTATGCATAATAATGTAAAAGAACATTTAAGAAACAAACACCATCAAATAACATTAGTATTAAGAGTAACATTAAAAACTGCTATAAGTCCAGTTGAGTCTAAATGGTCTGGAATCATTTTCCAGCAACATGAACGAAACTGGCAAAGTATTATAGAAATGCATAATAAAATAACCCACAGTAATCGCACCGCCTTAAAAACACACTGGAAGACAAACTGTGAACAACATAGCCATTAGTATCATAGTTTAAAAGCCAACCTGTTGATTATAAGTATCAGTCAGCGATGAATTTTCAGCAGCCAAGGATTCTGCTAAAGCTCGTGAAGCCTCAAGAGATCGTTGCAATGAAAACTTTTCTTGTGTCAAATCTTCTATATGCTGCAGGCAAGAAAGATAATAAATATTTCTGAGACAACAAACTCATGGAACAAATTTATCAAAGCATTTGTGTGCCAATAAAGGAAAAGTCCAAGGACCGATGCTACCCTTTGCCTAAAATACAAGAGTTGTTTCAGAATTCATCAAAAACCTCCCTTAAATATTTAAATTCATATCAAACCTCTCCTGCAAATTTGTCAAAATTCAACAAAGAAATAATCCACAACAAGCTGCCTGTATTTAAGCCTCATGGGAGTTAGCAAAATTTTTCACTAAACAAAGGATTCCTGACAGATACAATAGGAAAACTGTTCCACCACGCATAAATAAATGAAAATCAAGGAGGAAATATAAGTAACCACTCTTTGATCATCAATGTATCTAAAGCAGGAAGGCAGACTTTGAGACTATTAGGCTTAAGGAAGCACATTAACCAGCTGACAAAGATTACCTTCTATTTTTGCCGTCTTTTTAAAGAAACTAATTTCTTCAAGTCCATGAATACTGACAAGTATGAATTGCTATATACTTCCAATTTAAAAAACTGTTGAATTTCAAAATAACAGTAGAAGAATTAATTTTAAGGTTCCGTGGTTAACACCAAAAACATTAACGGTACAAAACAAGGATTGTCAGACCACACATAATAGAGTACAAACCCAACTATGGTTGTTTTTTTATTTCCCTTTAATGAAAAAAGATAACACATTCGCTTTTTTTTTTTTTTTTTTTTTTTTTTTTTTTTTTTTTTTTTTTTTTTTCTTTTTTTTTTTTTTTTTTTTTCTTTTTTTTTTTTTGTTTTTTTTTTTTTTTTTTTTTTTTTTTTTTTTTTTTTTTTTTTTTTTTTTTTTTTTTTTCCTTTTTTTTTTTTTTTTTTTTTTTTTTTTTTGTAAAAAACATAGAAAAGTGCCACCTTATGCAAGCCAGACATTTTCTATAAATCTATTAACTGGCAAAATTCAAAAAATAAATATTCAATGTTCCCACACTTTTTTTTTTTTTTTTTTTTTTTTTTTTTTTGGGATAAGTTCAATGTTCCCACACATTTAATGCCATAGGATATTTTATAGAATTTACAAACATTCAAGCTACTTGAAAACATGTCACTCCAGGAAGCATAAATAACAATAGAAATTTGAATTTTTCTTTCAGAGGCTAAATAAGATATAAGAATAAAGAACAACAACAAACCAGTGAAAGCACTACATGCACCAGGTGTGGGTACCTGCTCCAGTGGCAACAAATCTTCATTCGTTTGGATGAATAGAATCCATCTCTCATTGCCATGTTGCTATCATTATTATGCACCCTCAACATGTCCGCTCCATTACTAGCAGTAACTGAAGAATTGCTTAGATAATCAAATGCACCTGACACATTAGGGACAATTATTTTGAAAAAGGTCCAATAGTTTCAGTCTCCATGAGAGCTTCTGGACAACAGATGATCCCAGAACATCTGAGTTGTTTAATGGTGAACATTAGACATAAATGACTGCTTTTCTGGTTCAGATCGTTGAAAAGGTGCCCCTGATGAAGATCTTGAAACATTAAGAGAATCAAGGAAAGATGGACGAGATCTTGTAGAAGTAAATTCATTTGCGCCTGAATACATGGTACATGATTGGAGAAACTTCTGATATCAGACTGAAACTTGAAGATTCAGATGTTCTAAATGGCACACCGTGCCCAATAGGCAAACCACTGGTAGAGGTACTGAGCTTTCCTTCTTCCATATCAAAGATCGAAGGATTATTAACTGTGAACCGCCCGCAACTTTTTCCCAACTTCAAGGGCAGACCCTCTCGGCTGTTGGAAGGTTGAGTAGAGTCTACCATTACCCAAATGTATGCAAAGGAAGTCAGTTGCTTCCCAAAGAAAGTACTAAAGAATGTTTTACAGAATTAAAAAGAACATGTGAAATTTGCTAGTTTTATCACTAAAGACATGTCCAAAAATTACAACATACCTTCAAAAGAAGAGTGGAATGTGCGGCCATTACCAAGTGTGGGACATTATTCTGAGGGATCATGTTAGTGGCAAAATCATGAGAAAAACCAGGATTGATAGCTGAAGAGATCTTCAAAGGACTGTAATTTTCTTTTAATTGCATTTCTTCCATTCCTAGAAAACTAGATCTAATAGAACTGCTACCATGATCTGACTTGCTTGAGGGCGCAGGTCAAAAATTTGGTTATATAACACCTATTGATTCTGCAGAATCTGAAGAAGCATCTATCTTAATTTTTTGATTGTTTGAATACATCTGTGCTAGATCTCCAGAAGAAGATTTAAAATCATTGGCTGAAAAAGGAAAATTGGCATGTGTATCATTCAAAGATCCCCGTTGACTTTGCAAGGCTACTTCAATTGCTTTGTTGTCGTTGTTATTCATTATAGGAGTAGGTTCAGTAATAGCTTTATCAGGTCCATCAGATGTACCAGCTCCATTGGAATCTGTGACTCGCACACTATCAGCTTCTAAGTGATGTCCGTCTTGTAGGCTAATATCAGAAGCAAGAGGTTGGCCAACAGACAGAGTCTTCTTGGCTCGTTCCGCTGCCTTTTTTACGGAACTCCTCTAGCTGCAGGAGGAAAGAAAAGAATATATCAACTTCAAAAGATAATTAAATACAGAAAATTGCAATAGAAGAAACACACCTCTTGACGGCATGCAAAGATGGAGAAACATAAGTAATAAAGTACTTCAACATAAGCTTCTGAAAGAAATGAAAATTCTCTTTGACTGGAGAACTAGGAAAAGCTCATATAGAGAATAATCAGCACCAAAATGACGAAAAATGAACCTATACTACATACTTAATTGGTAAGACATTGGAGTATCAGACGAAGTTCGTTTATAATTACTTTGCACTTTAGCTTTCCAGTGATTGTTTCTCATAACAGTATCTAGCAATCAAAGCCTAGTCTGACTAAAAAACCTTTTGATTGGATACACGATAGTATGATCACAACAGTAACAATTACTCAAAATTATACCAATAACAATAAAATTCCATAAACCATATTAAATCTTACAAAACTATCTTAATTATAAGGCTAATAATGCTCGACGAAACAATACAAAAGCTAATTACGATGATTTTATCATATGCAGCATAAAGAATCAAAGCTGCACCAATACCATATACTACTGATAATCCCAAAAACGCACGATTCAAGACAATGTGAAGACAAAATCTAGTAGATTTCCATATTTCGTGCAAAAGTGATGGTACAACAACACAAATCAATAGCCTCCTCGTTTAACATCATCACAACTTCAAACAACAAAAACAAAATAAAAAATAAAACGTACCTTCCGCTTTCCTGTCCAAATGCTCTTGTTTACGCGATGTCGGCAACACACTGAGCCGACGCCATTTGATCCGAAAGAACGATTTAACGGCTCAAAAATATCATAAGAAGGAATCGAACAAAATTTTAAAAAATATAATGAAATAAACACCTGAAATTACAACAAATTCAGATCAAGATGAGATTTGAAATTAAAAGAAATGGAAAAAAAAAAAAACGGCTCGGGGAGAAAAAAAAAACGGCTCGGGAGAAAAAAAAAATTTAGACAAAGGTGGTAAGGGCCCCCGATCTAATCGGGGAGAGAAAAGAGAGATTTTGTGCGTGAGAATAAATAAATATTTAAAAAATATATAACTATTATTTGGATTTGTAATTGCTGTTGTTGTGTCAGATCTCCGTTCTTGTCCGTCCCTTTTGTTTCTCCCCCAATTTGAAATTTCATTTTTACGTATTTATTAGTTGGTTTAATTTTATTTTTTTTGTTTGATATAAATGGTGGTAGAATTGTTGCCTGTTGCTGTTGGTGTTACAATTGAACGCATGTGGGAACAGAACAGAAGCCCACGTTTGCTGAATCCAAAAGCAACCCAACATCTTTCCTTTTCTCAATGGTCATCAACACTCTATTTCATGCATTTAATATACAAAGTTATAATAAATAAATAAATAAACTTAACAGTTATTAATTAAATTAAAGATTTGAAATAAATTACTATCGCCAAAAAAATAAAAAATAAAAAATAACAGAAATGTTACTATCGCCAAAAAAAGGTGATGTTGTATATTTCCTTAAAACGATGTTGTGTAATCACTAATCAGTAAAGACGTGAATACAATAATTGTAAATATTTAGGGTAAGTTTCATTAATTAATTTTTTTTTCTTATTATAGTATGAACATCTCACCAACTTCTTTTTGAGTCGAATTGTAAAATACATTCATATTCATCCAATATTCATATAAAGTTGATAATACAATCAATTTCAACATAAAATCTCCATGGAATATATCAGAAATATATGCGGAAGTAAATGCAAAACCTCCAGCCATAGCAATTGTTGTTTGATCTTCTCACTCCTTCAAAATACAGGATCTTCTACTGAGTGTTATTTTAGACTGATGGTTTTTTAATCTGAAATAAACATGGCGTCTAATGGGACCTGTAAAGTCTCCTTTTAATATGCAGTTGTCTTTCCATCAAAGACAACTGCCAAGAGAAGAGACACAACCGTATGACACATCAATCCACATCAACATAAAAATGTAAGACCTTAATGTAATTATATTAAATGTAGGATGATAATACAAAAAGTCTAACAGAATTCAATCTAATGTATATTACATTAACGGTGTAAAAGAATTTAAAATATGAGACACGTGATTGTAAAAATAATATACATTTATTATAAAGGTTGTTTGTGTCTCAATCATTCATTTTAATTGATTTGTAGATTATTTCTTAAGTTAATAACAAAAAAAGAAGTTTATAAATTTATTTGAAAAGTAAATATAAAAAAATCATTTTCTAGTGTTCAAGAGTAGATTAGGCTAACTTAAAAAGTCAAAAGTTTCAATGTAAGTGTAAAAAGTAATACTATATGTATAAAAAAAGTATTATAAAGATTTTTATACAAAGCGATGTTAACAGAAATTAAATAGAAAAGTTAATACGATGAGTTTAACTTTTTATATTCACTGTTTCATTCATTTTTTATCTCATCATTTTATATTAAACATTATCAAATTCTAATTTTTTTTATAATAATACTGTAATAATTAACCTTAATTCTAAATTTAATTTTCATAATAATTATTTAATTAAATTATTAAATTTAAAAAAACTAGAAAATTTGATAAATTAGCTAGCACAGCATCATTGATGTTGTATTCAATGACACTATTGGGTAGATTTTACGGTGATGAGAAATACTGCAATTACAAATAAATTTTATAAAGACTTCTATATAAAGTAATGTAACAAAAAATGAATAAAAGAATATATTTATACAGTAATAAGTAATTAAAATGAAAGCTAAAACAATCTCAAATTAGAACTTATCGTAATTGCATGAAGAAAAAAAAAAAGGTTCTATCCTCTGCAATTATTACCCTAAAACTCTAGGGTCTCATATCTTACAAAGCAACCGGAAAGATAGAACTAGAATCTTTGACAATTATTTTCAAAGTTTATCAATATGTTATTTTTGGAGAAATTAGTGGTGTCTAAAATTTATATTTACCTGAGTTTATATATATTGTGTGTAGTTTTAGTTTTCCTATTATTAGGTTTAGGGTGGGTTTGGGGTTGCTTAACTTCTCCCATAATAAATTACTTGTTTCTTAAGCAATTATACAAAATGTGTTTGGCAAACACATTTCAAAAGTGATTATAGAACAATATACTTCTTTCATAATCTATTTTATTGAAGGATCTCAAAGTAGGGATTTCTAGCTTTTAGAATTCAAAATCAGCTTTTAAAAAGAGTCAATTACCAAAATGCTTAAAGATTAAACATAGATTCTAATTTCATTAAATATAAATTCTAATTTTTATATGAATAAATTTAAAATTAGATTATTAAAAAATGAAAAATATTTAAAACACAAAATACATAAACTGGCCAGCGGAGTAGTCGGCCAGATTCTAGCCGAAATTTTTGTTCCAACAAGTGCAATTTCATCGTCAGCACTATTGGGATTGCCGATTTGTGATCTACCCAATGGAGCTGGAGGGTTGTTTGAACAATACGTCAGTTTGCGACAACAATCCGGGAAAGTTTCGTCAAAACTTTTCAGCTTGCTTGTGATGCAACACTGCCTAATTTTGGAAGACCGCCAACTTCACCATTGATTTCAATAGGCGCGTTTGGTTTATTATTTTGGATAGGATTTTAGATATAGTATTGGATAATTAAATATGGGAGTATTACGAGGTAAAATTTATAAATTTATAAAAAAATCCTCTAAGTTTGCTAATTTAATAAATACCCCAACATATAAAATGACAAAAATACCCCTACCACCTGCAGTGCCAGATTCCAGCCACCACTGCCAGAATCTGGTTGGAAAATCGCGTTACGACACAAACCGATCCGATCTGTGTCGTAACGTGTTGTTATGGCCTTTTCCGGGCAGATCCACCATGGATCTAGCCCAAAAAGGCCAGATCCACGGCCTTCCGTGGTCGTCGACGACAGGAAAATACGTCAACGACGGCCAAAGATATGGCCATCGTTCTCGATCAACGATGGCCATTTCTTTGGTCGTCGTTGACGGTCAGATCAGATCAGTGAATTACCATCCAGTTTCGGTCGGTAATTCACCGTTGTGGCAGATTTCGGTTACCACCGATGGTGGTTGTCAGAATCTAGTAAGTATGGGTCATAGGGGTGTTTTTGTTAATTTTTAAACTTTTTAAGGGGTATTTAATGAAATTAATAATCTTTTGGGATCTGAAAGTAATTATAAAAATAGGGTAATATTTCTAAAATAATGTGCTAAATATTGTTTGAAAAATAAGATTAGGAATATTGATAATAATAATAAGCCAAACATACCCGATGATGATGTTGGTAGTGTCATCTCGCTTGCAAGAAAACATTTTCCAGCGATGGTGACCAGCCACTGTTGCCGATAGCTGTTTTAATTTTTTTTTAAAAAAATTAAATTTTATATATTTTAATAACATGATAGAAACTTACTTAAAAACTGTTCATTTTTTGTCTTTTTGTTTCAGTCATATCCCATTTCTCAAAATCAAAAGTGATTTAAAATTATGAAAAACAAACACTTAATAGATTATATTATTTTTAAAAGTAGATCCATAAATGATTATGAGACAAGTTACAACAATCTAAAATCATATAAGACAAATATTCCCAAAAGGGGGTGAATGGAAATTTATAAAAATAATTTGCCGAGTAAAAACTATCGACAACACCAATAAATAACAATGAGTTTAAATAATGGGTGACAATAAATAAACTCAACCAACAATGAATGATAATGTTAATGAATAAACAATATTAAGCAATAAATGCGAGAGAGTGCAAATATGAGCAATGAATGAAACCAAGTGATAATGATGTTCGAGTAAATATGCGAAGAATAATAAATAAGTTGAGAGAGAAGAAATGTTTATAGATTTATAGTGGTTCGGAGCTCTATCCATAAGCTTCTGATATTCACTTTTTCAAGGTAACCTGCTAGAAGTTTCACTAAAATTGGATTGCGCCAAGCAGATTCACTAAAATTGGATTGCACCAAATACATTAATTTGACATGATTTATCCTTTTTTACAATAGTTTGACAAAATTTTGCATCTAGATTTATAGGATTTCGCCCACAAGATGTTTGAATAAAAACATGTGAAAGATTGCTTCTTAAATTAGGCTTGAACACACAATATCAATTATACATGGTAACCTAATATACTAACTAACATGGTAAGATAACACAATCTTTGTGATATGGTAACAAAATATACAAGTATACAACCAACATCTCAATAGTAACTGTATGGTTATTACTGATTGCGGATCATTTAATCATATGGGCAAAAAAAGTATCAAAGTTTGAATCAATAACAGATTGTATTACTCCAAAAAGTCCAAACTACAGGGGATGTTTAAAAAATCATACTAAATGTCAAAGGAGTTTTGTTAGCAAATTAAACCAAAAAAGTCAATAAAGATACCTAATGAATTTCAATATAATTTTACTTTGCCTTTATTGAATTTAAAAAATGAAAAAGATCAATGATTNAAAAAAAAGTATGGACGGGCGTCCATTCCGAATGGACGCTCGTCCAAACGTAAGGGACGGCCGTCCAAAATTTATGGATGGCCGTCCCCAAATTTTTTTTATTTTCATATTTTGGTTAAGGGCGGGAGTCCCTTATTTGCGGGCGCTCGACCAAAATAAAGGGATGGCCGTCCATAACGGATGAAAGGCCCTCCCTAATTTTTTTTTTAAAAAATTTATTCCATTTTACTTATGGACGGGCGTCCTTTAAATGGGGACACCATCCCTGGTATATGGACCCTCGTCCATATAATATGGACGGGAGTCCATGTGAGTGAACGACCGTGCAAATTTGATAGACGACCGTTCACTAGAAAAAAATTGATAAAAAAATCAAGCGCCTAGTACACGTAGGCCGGTACACATTTTCGGTGTAAATTTTTCTGTGTCCGTAGCTTTGTTGTTTGGTTAATGGGGCCATTGTGCTTGGGCAATAAGTTAAAGAGTTTGAAAAGATAATTGTAAAGACCATTTTAATATGTTTCTTTTAAGCTAATTAGCTTTGTTAGCCCTATATTTCCAGTTTTTCATTTTATCGATCGCACACGCTTTATCAATTTTTGATCTAGCTCTAGTCATACACACAACTGCCTCAAGCATGACAGTCAAATGGTCAAGAAGAGTGCTCATTTTAAGAGAACTATAGTGGCCATGGGTGTAACTGCAAGAACATATATATATATCTATGTTTTGGGAAATAATTTTTAAACGTTTAGAAGCATGTGACATTGGATGAGAATATAAAAAACTATGGGCCGTACTTTTTAACTAATTTTGCATGAATTTGTTTCTTTTGGGCCAAGCAAATTTGCAATTATTCAACTTGTTCATATCATTAGATCCCAGACCTTTAATTGATTAATCTAAGGCTAAAAATTGATTAAGAATATGTGTAAAGTTGAAGGGCTACAAATCCTCCTCCATATCATAATCTATATGTTTGTCTTTATGTGTTGTCACCATGTGACTCAACACTATGTTATTCAAGTTTTAATATCCCCTAATCCCATCAGAAAAGTCAATTACGCAACAATATTTCATTTTGCTTTTTTTTTTTTTTTTTTCCTTATGACTATGAGTGTCCAGCAAGCTTATGTGTATCTCAATTAATCTTCCAGAACTCTGGAACTACCGGTCGGGTAAGAACTCTAATGATTATCTCTATTAGCAACTTAGAAATAAGTCAAACTTAAAACCTTTTGAGTAATATACCCAAGAGTCCCTATCGAATCACTCGACCATCCTATTAGCAACAATATTCATTATGCTTTTAAGTTCATTGCATTTAGACAACAATGTAGGACAGCAGACCAATGCAATATTTAAATTAGGTTATATAGCAGCTTTATCAGAAGAGGAAAAGAAATTATCCATTACAACATTAAATGTTTTCAGAGGAAAGAAAAAGTCAAAAGCACCCTTCAAATACCTTCAGGGTGCGTTTGTTTCGGGGGCATAAAAGATAATACCGATAATCTGTCTTATTTTTTGAAAATTACTACGTTTGGATGTCAAGTAATGAAAAATTACGATAAACTTTCAATGCCAATAGTGGTTACTATAAGTAAAAACAGGGGTAATTCAATTGTCATTTGGGAGGGTGTTATTTTTCTATTACCAGGGTAATCAACTGTTCATACCAATTTTACCCTTAATTAATAAACAATTTGGACACAAATGTGCTCATATGTCTACCAAATAACAATTAGCCCAAATGTGCGAAGTGACTTCTTTAACCTCATATATTATTTTTTAGACATAAATACCCTCACTATTTATATAAATAATACCCAAAATACCCCTAGCCACCCAAGACAATTGTCGGCAGTCGACCACCACTGTTGGCCACTACTGGCAATCGTCAGAATAGCACACGACCGATCGGATCTGGCCGATCATGCCCCTATCTAGCTGTTTCCAACTAGATCAAAGGTCGGAAATGGCCAGATGGATCTGATCGGAAACGAATAGATCAATGGCTGTAAATGACCATAGATCTAGCTGTTTTTGGCCAAATCCACAACCGTTAATGGCCACAGATCTGGCCGTTAATGGCCAAAATGGATCTGGCTTTTCGGCTCGGTCCATGGCCATCTAGCCGTTTTTGGCCTTTGATTTGGCCGTTTTCAACCTTTGATCTGGCTGGAAACGGCTAGATCGGTGAACAACCAACTAGATTCGGTCAATTGTGCGTCTTTCTAACAATTGTCGACGGTGACCGATGGTGGTGGCTGGCAACCAGCAGTCATCTTGGATGGTTGGGTGAATTTTGTTAAACTTTAAACTTTTGTTGTTAGGGCGTTTTAGCTAAATTCTCAAATATAGGGAGTTAAAAAATGTTCTAAATAATAACAATAATATTAACAAGGAAGGGTAATTAAGTAAAAATCCTTCGATAAATCTCAACCAAACATATTAATTATTTATACTCATCAATCTAACCAAACATATTAGTATAACATTCCTCCATTAATCATCAATGTAATATTCTCAGTGGTAATCCATCCTATATTTTCAGTGATAAAGAATTCTCTAAAACAAACGCACCCTCAACGAATTAGAAGTTAGCATGGTTCATTATGATAAATGGTGATTATCACTGTCTTGCCTAATTTTTAGATTTGAATAAAAGAGGACATTTGTATTAGACAATCCTAACAAGAGAAGTTTTTGACGACTTTGAGAAGATTTATCCTAAATTTGAAGAAAAAATCCCAACAAAACTATAAAAAAGTCCATAAATATTTCTAATGAATTTCAAATAAGTTTACTATGCCTTTATTTAAAATAAAGAAAGAAAAAAGATCTATCATGATAGTGGATAGAGCAAACCAGACAGCCAGCATCTTGGTAAAATCAAAGCCATCACACCCAAACCAAAATTACAAGAATATGAAAGTATTACAATATTTTGAATAATTAATTTTCAGAACTCTGCAACTTATTAATTATAACCCTGCATCAATCGGTTTTTTCTGCGACAAGCTTCTCCCTTATGTTCTTGATATGAGCCAAGAGTTTCTCAGGGTCAGGAAGATTTTCTTTGATGACAGGAACTTCCTTGAAATTGTTAACCCATGCATACAACCGAGGGCAAGTGGTTGATTCCAGCAATTTTATACCAATCACTTCTTGAATGGTCTCAAACCAATGAGGCAACCAGCCATATGCAATGTCAACTAGATTGATAGTATCCCCTCCGAAGAATTTCTTGTCTCCAAGGCCTTGCTCTTCCAATACTTTTAGCACTGCCAATACCTCTTTTGCTGCCTTCTCTTGCTCTTCTCCACTGCTTCGGAAAACTGAGAAAAAAAAAGGACCCTGGAACCCAATCCCGAAAAATTGTTCAGTTTTAAGGGTAATTAATACCCCTATGATCGGTAATTACTGATATCAACAATTAGAGCAAATGAAAATCGTATTCTTCAACAATCCAGGCACAACTTGAATGCAAAAAATTATAAGAAAAAAGATTTGGGGATTAAATTACCTTGGCTGCTCCATATTGAATCCAAAAGCGAGCTATAGCTCTATCATAAGCATGAGTTGGCAGCAATGGATTCTTAGGCCACGTTTCTTCAATATATTCAAGGATGACAAGCGACTCAGCGATTGGTTTTCCACCATGAACAAGGACTGGGATTTTCTTGTGAACAGGGTTGTACTTCAAGAGCAACTCACTCTTGTTAGAAAGATTTTCTTCTATGTATTCGTATTCAACACCCTTCAGTTTCAGTGCCCATGTCACTCTGCTACTATATGAGCTTGGCCAAAACCCATGTAACTTCAATTCTTCCATAGTTTTTAGATCAAAGATACAACAAGTATGCAGAGGTCTGATCGATGTCAGTGCAAGGTCAATATCTGTGATTTAATTACTGGGTCATTGTTCTAGGAGAAATAAGTTGCAGAGTAGAGTTTTCGAAGGGTAGAGAAAGATTATTCTTTGCTCTGTTCCTTGCTTGCTTATATTATTTGTATTGTCCTTGGGTTATTGGCAATTATGAAAAGTACTGGCACCATTTTAGCGCTTAAATTTCCATGAATTAAATGAAGTCAAATATGGTGTGCGAATTGGCGAAATATTCAACAGTGAAGGCGGCTTTGTATACGTTTATAGCTTTGTTTTTCTCGTCATTTGGACGATAGAGTTGACTGAGAAACTATCAAGTTTTAATATGATCCGCCTGATCCCAATAGTTGAGAAAAGTCCAATAACGAAATTTTACTATTCATAAACAATTTTAAAAATTCCATAAAATTTTATTGGGATGGCCGGATCCAATAACGACAACTTTTTAAAATTCAACTCGAAAAAAGATAATAAATATATATAATGTTAAATTATTCATAAAAAATAACACAAAATAAGTCTCAATAATGTATAAAATAAATAAAAAAGAAATATTAAACTTAACCATACATTAAAATGTAACTCGACGAGATCTCATATTTTGAAGGTCATTTATAATTGATTCTATACTAAATTTCTCCAAAATCATTAAAATTAATACTAAATACTGATATCATTATGTTGTGAAATATAAATTAATTAAACTTTAAATTTAATATAGATTCACGCAAATTTTAAAGAATTAAAAGACAATCCAATTATCTAAAATCAATGCAAATTTCCAAATCAAGACTTATTCTAAATAATAAACATTAGGATCAAATTATAAAACATAAAACTTAACAATATAATAAGTAAATAATGTGAACATGAATAATATTATAATAATATAATAGTATAAAATCACTAACTTATTAATAATATTTCAATTCTCTTCCACAGGAAATATAAAAAACACAGATATTATTATAATTTTTTTTCTATTTTTAATTACAAGTGGTATTAGAACTATTATATGATATATCATTGGTTTACTAATTAAAAGTTTATATTCAATTTTTTTTTTCTTCTAATTGGCAAAATTAGTGAATAAATTTATCTTCTCAAGAATCATTTTCATCTTAAATTCAATTAATTTTCTTCCATCAGAAATATTTAAAAGAGAGATAGGTTTGTTTTGTATTTTATTACAAGAGTTATCAAGACTAGTATATGACATAACATATCATCAATGCATCATTTACAATAAATTAAATAATGAATCATGAGATAACCATTGCCAATGCAAAATAGTGTTCAATTTCTAATCATTTTTAACGGGATTGTTAATGTTGTTAATGACACATATTTTGCAAAAGAAGGTAAGGAAAAATAATCACAAAATTTGTAGTATTTAAAAACTCACTATAGCAATCATATGGTAATTAACAATTGTTTTACTACTTCTATAGTAATTTAAAAAAAAAATACAAAAGAATAGAAAAATTAAAAAGAAAGAATTAAATCAGGGCCATGGCCAGCAGCTGGCCAAGCCCAAGTCTTTGTTTTTTTAAGCGTTAATACTAATTATTTTGTATTTCTTAGTTTTGGTTTTCTATTTTTTTTTTCAATTTTTTTAAAATTTAATGGTTTCTTAAATTTTCTTATTTTTTTTATTAAATTTTACTGAGTTTATTTTTTATTTTTTAAAACACATTTCTATAAATGTTTGTTCATGGTTATTTATGTCCTTTACTTTTTCTCCATTAAATTAAACGGTAATTAATAGAGGTATGTCCATTTTTTAACTATTTATAAACTTGTGTACATAGTTTCGCAAAACATTGTCCTCTAGGAGATGATAGAGAAATTAGGCTATATATTTTACTGTTGATGCTGGTTTTCGGCACCAACCAATTGTCACGTGGGTTTTGCCCTTTGATGAATTATTGCACGTGATAATAGATATATGAAATGAAATAAATGCAGGGAAAACTTTTAAAGTGGTTCGGATGCTAAGGTAGCAAGTCCTACGTCCACTGGGTTGTATTGATTTTAGTGTGGGTCAGGTCGCGAAGCGGACTGACGTACAAAAAGTTATGAAAAGTAAATGTTTTCTTTTACATGAGAGAGAGAGTTATTTTTTGTAAAGAATGGCCGAATCCCCTTAATGGAGGGGTCTTCTTCATTTTATAACAAATTGAGGCGTGTAATCATCATTAAATCCATGGGTTGGTGTGATTGTCAGGATGTAATCCAGCTTTATGTCCCATTTTCCTTTTTCCAAGCTGATTTCGCACGACTTGCTGCAGAGGAATGGATGCGTGTGAGCTCCACATTACTTTGCAGATCTGACGTGTGCATGTTGCCCTGACGGGAGCAGGTCACCCGTAACGTGACTCTTCCCACGTCAGCCTTTTGTTTTCCCGGGTATAACATTTACAGTGCTGTATGAGGAGAAAGAAAAAAATTATCCATTATAATATTAAAATTTTTCAAAGGAAAAAAAATCAAAAGCACCCTCAAAAATTCTTCCACTTCGAATGAAAAATGGGAAATAGAAAATACTAAATTAAACTTTTTGTCACTTTAAAATAATTTTAAGCAATTGAAAATTAGTATGTTCCATTGTGATAAATGGTGACTATCTCCATCTTGCCTCATTTTTGGACTTGAATACAAGAGGACATTTGTATAATGCGATCTCAATGAGGGAATTTTTTGACAATTTTAAGAAGATTTACTCCAAACTTGGAAAAATATCCTTCTAAAATCAAAGCCCCATCACACCTAAAATCATAAGAATATAATAATGTTGCAACATCTTGAACAATATTCAGAACTCTGCAACTTATTATCTATGGACCTGCAACACCTATATGCTAATTGCTAATTCAATTGGTTGTTATGTAATGAAGCTTCTTTCCTTGAGTTTTTCAGGTCAGGAATATTTTCTTTGATGACAGGAATTTCCTTGAAATTGTTAACCCATGCATGCATGCAGCGTAGGGAAAGTGGTCGGTTCCAGCAATTTTATGCCAATCACTTCTTGAATGGTCTCAAACCAATGAGGTAGCCAGCCTTATGCAATGTCAACTAGACTGATAGAATCCCCACCAAAGAACTACTTGTCTCCACGGCCTTGCTTTTCCAACAGTTTTAGCATTTCCAGTAACTTTTTTGCTCTCTTCTCTTGCTCTTCTCCACTGGTTCGGAAAAGTGGGAGGAAAATTGGAACCTAGGTCCAATCCCAAAAATTTGTTCAGTTTTAGGGATTGTTAGAATTCTAGAGAGAAAGTCAAAGAATTCAAGAGCGAAATGTAAAGAATTGAAATTATTTCAAATGTACAAGACCTTTCTATATGTACTTACAATACAAGCTAAAATCATTAGCATGATTTATGCTAATGACAAAAATCAAGCTTTGCTTGATTCAAGCCATTGATCAAGCTTTGCTTGATTTTGGCTAACACCCCCCCTCAAGCTCAAGGTGGCAACGTAGATTCTAGCTTGAGATTGGAAACTAACTCCGTGAATTGTCTTGGATGATGAGCTTTTGTGAAGACATCAAAAAATTGATTGACGGAGCGGATAAATAACAAGTCAATAGTGCCTTGTGCGATGTGGTGACGAAAGAAGTGACAATCAATCTCAATGTGTTTATTGCGTTCATGGAAGACGTCATTATGAGCGATCTGTATGACACTTAGATTGTCACAATGAATAGGAATGACAGAGGAATGAGCAACACCCATATCTTCTAGGAGCCATTAGAGCCAAATTAGTTCAATAGTGGTATCAGGTAAGGCACGACTTCTGTGCTTGATCGAGTTGTAACTGATTGTTTCTTACTTTGCTAAGAGATAAGTGAGTCACCAAGGAAGAAACAATACCCAGTGGTGGAACGTTGATCAGTAGGATCCCCTGCCCAGTCAGCATTAGAATAAACATGCAACTGTTGTGAGGAGTGAGTAGAAAAGAAAATACCCATAAAAAGAGTGCCTTTGGTGTATCGCAGAATCCGCAAGACAATAGTATAATGGGTGGAGTGTGGAGCAGACATGAATTGGCTAACAATATGAAAAACATAAGCGATGTCAGGTCGAGTGACAATGAGATTGACCAAACTGCCCACTACCTATTTGTATAAGGTTGGATCTAAAAGGAGTACGTCATCCATGGGAGTAAGGCGAGCATCTGTTTCTAGTGGCGTAGAGGCGACCTTCGTGTCAGTAATTCTAGCACGAGAGAGCAAGTTAGATGCATACTTTGCTTAGGAAGGAGAATAACCATCAAGAGTGGAAGAGACTTTGAGTCCCAAAAATAAGTAAGGGAACCAGATCTTTCATCTCAAAGTGCTGACTAAGGGAGTTTTTAAGCTTGGTAATGCTTGATACATCGTCTCCAGTGATAATCATATCATCCACATAGAGCAAAAGAAGAATAAGGCCATGATCAGTCTTCCAAATAAATAAGGTTGAATCATGGGACTTGAAGAAATTTTGAAGGAGTTCATAGTTGCACTGAACTTTGAATACCAGGCCCGAGGCGATTGTTTGAGCCCATATAAGCCCTGACGCAATCTATGCACTTTGTTAGGCGGATGATCATAATTAGGTGGTGGTTGCATATAGACTTCTTCCTCAAGCTCACCATTGAGAAAAGCATTTTTTACATCCATCTGAAATAAATGCCATTTTCGAACAGTAGTAATTGTCAATAAACTTTGAACTGAAGTGAGACGTGCAACAGGAGAAAAAATCTCTTCATAATTGATTCCATACTCTTGAGTAAAACCCCCTGCCACTAGACGTGCTTTATAATGTTTCAGAGACCCATTTGAAAGAGTTTTGATCTTATAGACCCATTTACAACCCACAAGTGTTTTATTTGGTAAAAGATCTACCAACTCCCATGTCCTTGTCTTTTCTAGAGCTTTGATCTCTTCGTCCATTGCTTGCTGCCAAAATGGGTTAGAATTAGCTTCACAATAAGTATAAGGCTCATGCAAGGAGACTATAGTTGAGAAACAATGAAAATCAATAAGGTGGGAAGAAGGTTCTCTTAACGAGTAGAGCGCCGAAGAGCCAGAGTATCTGACTCATCGAGGAGATCAAAATGTGCCACAAGTGTCGAATCCTTAGAAGATATAAAATTGTTGGGAGTAGGCGTAGGAGGAATGACATGGTCAAGCTTAGAAGAGGAACCTGTATTAGATGGAAATAATTCTGCAAAAGAGTGAGTAATAGGGGAAAAAGATGAAATATGGAATTTTGACAAAGAAGAGAACATTATATCTTCCTAAAATACTACATGACGAGAGACACATAAGCGTCGGGGGATGGGATCCCAACATCGATACCCCTTATGTTCTATACCATATCCCAAGAAGCAACACAAACGGGCACGTGGTTCAAGTTTGGACCGCTCATGGGGCTACAAAAGAACGAAACAAGCACATTAAAACACTTTTAAGGGACTGTAGTTGGAAGAAAAACCAAGAAGACGCTCATAGGGAGTTTGATTATCTATAATAGGAGAAGGCATGAGATTGATGATAAGGACGACGGTGAGGGCGACCTCTCCCCAAAATAATTCGAGACAAGAAGATGATAAAAGCATGGCTAGAGCGGAATCCAAGATATGTCAGTGTTTGCATTCTGCACGACTATTCTATTGAGCGGTTCTAGGACAAGATTGCTGAATGATGGTTCCATTGCCAAGAAGAAATTCATTTAGGGTAGAATCACAATATTCCATGGCATTATAGTATGAAGCATTTTTATTTTCTTGGAATATTGTGTCAGTACCATGGCCGCAAAGTTTTTATATGTTTGATAGACTTCAAATCTGTTTTTTAAGAGATATATCCAAGTAAAACGAGAAAAATCATCTATAAAAATTATAAAGTACTGTGAACCTCCCATAGTATGAATCAGTGCGGGGCCCCAAACATCAATGTGAATTAAATCAAAAGGTGTGTAAGAAACTGAGTCATTATTATTAAAAGGCAAGATAGGTTGTTTAGACAAAAGACATGACACCCAATCAAATGTTTCAAGTTTATTAGAACCCAGGCGACCATTGAAAACAAGTGAACGTAATTTAGTCAGGGAAACATGACATAAACGAAGATGCCATAAGTGAGAAATGGATAAGGTAGATGCAGTTGACAAGGAAAGAGATACTTTAGAAGGTGAAAGGTGGAGTGAGGTGAGCTCGAAAAAGCATCCCATCTTGTGCCCTGTCCTAAGAATTTGACCTGTCTGAGAATCCTACACACGACAACCATGAGAAGAAAAGGTAATGTCAAGACCAAGTCCACATAGTTGATTGACAGAAACAAGATTATATATGAGTTTGGAATGAGAAAAGTATTGGGTAGAGACCTAGTTGGAGTACAGATGGTTCCTATATGACTAACATGCATATGAGAACCATCTGTAGTATGAATGACAAGTGTATTTGAATTTAGAGATGTATCAGATAAGACAAATGAATCCGAAATCATATAATTACGACATGCAGAATCAATAAACCATGGAATAGTACTTGAAGTGATGGATAAGGCACTGCAAAAAACATGAAGAATGAGACAAAACCTATTTAAGGAGAGACCCTATATCTTTAAGGGTAGGTTGGGATGGAAGTGGGGATGCCTTAGTGGCAACAACAGCAACGTGTGATGAAGATCTGGATTTTCCAAGTTGGGGACAACGAGACTTGGTGTGACCCTTCTTTTTGCAATAATTACACAAAATGCTTGGGCAATAAAGAATGAGATGTCCATTTTGGTGGTAGTATTTGCAAACAAGTGAATCAGATTGCTTGGTCAGATGAGCTTCAGATTGCTTGTTAGGAATAATGGCAAGAACTGCATCTAATTTTTTTATACCTTAGGTGTGAAACCAAGTCTCATTAGACTGAAGTTCAGAGAGAGCTGTGTCCAAAGGCATACAATGGAGGAGCATGGATCAAACAGACTCATACTCTGGGGTGAGAGCCATCAAAAACTGGATCAAACACATATGATCACGATGTTTTTCATATTGAGTGGCATCTGTAGTGCATTCCATCTAAGATCAGATTGAGCTAGGTAATCCCACACAATTTGCATCTGAGCATGGAAATCTGTGATAGACTGAGCGGGCTCTTACTTCATGTGTTGTAGAGACTACTAGAGTTGATATTGATGAGAGAGTCCTTTGGTAATAAATCGAGTGGCACGCATATCCCAAACTTTTACAGTTTCATAGCGACCAAACTGGAGATGAATAGATGGAATAGAAGAATTTTGGAACCATGTAATAATCTAGTGATTGTTGCTATACCAATCATCAAGTCTCTCACTAAACTTGTCATCTTCTTCAATATCTCCTTTAACCGATGTTTTAATATCGTTAGTCACATAACACCAAAGTTTTCGTCCTTTTAGAAAAAGGCCGCATTCTTTGACTCCATGAGGTATAAGAATTGGTGCCATCTAAAATCCCAAAAATTAGACATTGGATCTCCATTTTTTCCATTGGAAGACAAGAATTCTGATGTTGGAATAAGGAAAAATTGCTGATGTAGGAGCAAAGTCAGTGCTGATGTGGCAAGTCAATGATGATGTGTGATAAGAGCTTGAAAATACATGTTTTGTTAGTGATTCAATTGGATTATTTGTGGGAAAATTTGTTTAAATTGCAAAATTTGAGTTAATTACTTCATAAATACCTTTTATGGGATCACATGTGTATTTTGAGTATTTTTAGGTTGTAATTAATGTTTGAATGAAGAAGGATGATGTCGATGAAATTTGTGACAAGTAGGAACAAATGGTGCAAGAATCAGAATTGAAATGAGGAAGTTATGATGCATTGAAGATGAGACTTAACACCTGGAAATTCTTCAAGATGAGCATGCTTTAATGTTTTGATCATAACTTGAGCTGTAGAAATCAGAATTTAATGATTCTTATGGTGTTGGAAAGCTTATTCAGAGGAATACAAATGTTGTGTTGATGACTTTACCAAATTCTGAAGATATCAAACTTGTGGGATAGAAAGAACTATCATCGTAGCGACCATTTATGTTGCTGCAGCGATGGAATGCGAGCCAGATGGGCTATTTTATTTTCCTACTCTGAATCTAACTTGTCTAAGGCATTTAATTCTTTCCTAATTAACCTCCAAACCCAAGCACTATAAATAAGGGTCTTTAATTAGTTTTTAGGGAGAAGAAGGGAGAGAGAGCGACTACTCTTTGGAGATCAGAATTCTGAGAGTTTTGATTCACAAATTAGAGAAGTTTTTCTATTTTTCTTTCTTGTTCTCATATTTGTTAATACAATGGTTGTGTTTAGTACTGAAAGTATGAACTAAATTCTTTTCCAGGGCTAAGATGTAGCCTAATTTTATGAATATGCATTGAATTATTTGTTGTTAATTTTTATTAAATTTTGTTCTAAGTTTTATTATTGCACTTAATGCTTTCAGTTCTTAAGGGCCCAAGACTTGAATAATTTTATGGGTTAGGTTAAGATTGAGAGATGAAACCTAAATAGTCTAATGTAATAAAACCACAGATTGAGTGAATGCTAGAGATAGGTTACTGCGATCTGTGAGGCTCTGGTAAATTCCATAAAACTAAATGATCTCTTAGCTTCTAAATCCACTTTAGAGATATTTTGGGTTGTTGATTAAGGGTTAATCTGTAATTGTTTGAGAGAAAATTATCAAAATATCAGGGAATTTGGCCTTTAGAATAAGCTTAATTAGGTTAGCAATAATTATCAATGCCTAGGATTAAATTTGTGTGAAATTTGTGCCTTAGGTTTAGTCATATTGATCTTTTTATCAAAGTATTAATAAAATTATGTTTTTGTTTAGTTTTTAGTTTGTTTTATTTTTCATTAACTAATTCTTAAAATTTTGTTTTATCAAATAGTAATAAGATAGATTAGTTTGGTACTTGGTAAGTAGTTCTCTTAGGATTCGACACTCATTTACTCGAGCTTTATTACTTGTGTGATTTCATACACTTGTGATTAGCCTGTCAAGTTTTTGGCGCCGTTGCCAGGGAACTATTTTTCTACCAATATCAATACGAACTATTTATTTGCTAATTTGATTTGTTTTTTTTTTTTCTAAAAATTAATTTTTATTTTATTTCGTTGTGTTTATTTCTTTTATTTAGATCCTAGAGAGTTTACGTTCTAAAGGTGGTGGTGATCTCAATCCCTTCGATTCTGAGATTGAGAGAATGACTAAATAGTTGAGGAAAGAAAAGAGGCAAGCCAACTTAAAAAAATCAGTGGCTGACAAAGGAATTATAAATAACAATATGGAAGATTAACAGAATCAGAATGGGGATATCCCAGAGGGCAATGCAACTAGTGGAATTGTAGTTTTTCAAAGAGCATTGAAGGACTACTCTAGTCCTACTATTGAAGGATTCTATTCTAGCATCAAGAGACCACCAATTCAAGCGAATAATTTTGAGATCAAGCCAGTAATTATTCAAATGTTCAACATTCGGTCCAATTCACAAGGTTGCCTAGTAATGATCTCAACTTGCATATCGCCAATTTTATGGAGTTATGTGACACATTCAAACATAATGGGGTATCTGATGATGCAATTAGGCTAAGACTTTTCCCATTCTCTCTTCGGGATAAAGCTAAGGCTTGGTTGATTTCTCTGCCATCTGGGAGCATCACAACATGGAACAAGTTAGTTCAAGCATTCCTCACTAAATATTTTCCACCTGTCAAGTCTGCAAAGTTGAGAAGTGAGATTACCAATTTCTTCCAACAAGATATGGAATCATTGTATGAAGCATGGGAAAGATATAAGGATCTCTTATGAATGCGTCCTCACCATGGTTTGCCAATCTGGTCACAAGTGTAAACGTTTTACCAAGGATTGCTACCAAATATACAAGCCATAATAGATGCTGCCAGTGGAAGAGCGTTGAATAATAAAACATGAAGGAAGCTTACAATTTGATTGAGGTGATGGCGAGCAATAACAACATGAGGACTTCGAAGAGAAATTCAACAAAGAAAGCAGCGGGAGTGCACGAAGTTGATGGCTACACCGCATTGGCTGCTCAGCTTTCAGCCATCCAAAAGCAATTGGGAGTTGCTCTAAAGGTAAATGCTATTGAATCTTCTTCTCTAACTTGTGAATTTTGTGCAGGGAATCATATGACAAGAGATTGTAAAGTAGGGAATCCATTTGCTCCACCTCAACAATCAAAGTATGTCAACAAATTTCAAAGAGAGCAAGGGAATCCATACTCTAACACATACACTTTAGCACAATCATCCAAACTTCTCATGGAGTAACCACAAGGAACATAAACAATCTCCTGGTTTTCAAGCTCAAGAGCCGAAATCTAACTTGGAGAATTTGCTTACCAAGTTCATTGAAGAGACAAGCAAGAGGTTTGAAAAGAATGAAATCCTTGTCCAAAATCAGTCAGCCTCCATTAGAAACCTTGAGACTCAAATAGGACAAATCCATAACATATTAGCGGGAAGAGTTTAAGGAGTTTTGCCAAGCGATATAGAGAAGGGCCCTGAGGAGTGGAAAAACCTTGGAGAATTCAAAGGATGAAAAACGGATGCAAGAAAGAGAGAAAAACTTGGAAGAAGAAAAGAAGGAAGATCGCCAAGACTAGGAAAATTTTCACCGCGACAACCATGAAAAGAAGAAATATTGCCACGCGAGAAATGTGGTCGCCGCAACTACTGTGAAATTTTTGAAGAAAGAGGCTTTGTTGATAACGATCATCATGATGACCATGAAATTGTTCTTGAAACTTTAGAAGATAATACTTATCGCCACGACAAGGAAATTAGCCACTACAACGATCGTGAATCTGACCAGAATGCATCTTGAAGTCATTAAGCCAAAGAGAAAAAAGAATCCACCCTTTCGTACCCACACCGATTGAAGAATCAGAAGCTTGACAAGCAATTTGGTAAGTTTATTAACATGTTTTGAAGCTTGCATATTAATATTCCTTTTATTGATATGTTAGAGTAGATGCCCAAATACGCCAAGTTTCTGAAGGAGATCCTCATTCATAAAAGAAGATTTGAGGAACATGAGAAAGTAATGCTAACGGAGGAGTGTAGTGCATTGATTCAAAAGAAACTATTGCTGAAACTATGAGATCCAGGGAGTTTTACTATCCCTTGTATTATTGGTAGTTGTTATTTTGACAAGGTTTTGTGTGATCTAGGGGCAAACATTAATTTAATGTCGTTTTCTATCTATAGGAAACTTGGATTGGGAGAAGTTAAGCCAACCACTGTGTCTATCCAATTGGTAGATCGATCAATAACATATCATGAGGGTGGTAGAAGATGTCTTGATTAAGGCAGACAAACTGATTTTCCCGGTAGACTTTATAGTATTAGACATGGAAGAAGATCAGGAAATGCCTTTAACCCTAGGACGACCTTTTCTAGCAACGGGTAGAGCATTGATAGATGCTCATCAAGGGAAACTAATCTTAAGGGTAGAAGATGATTAGATGAGTAAGTAGAGTTTAATGTTTTTGATGCTATGACGCGCCCATCCGGCTTAGACACCTGCTTTGAGATTAGTATCCTTGATAACATAGTGAATAAAAAATTAAAAGAAAACTACCATAATTCACACCTAGAAAATTGTTTGGTCAACTCTATGACTATAGAGGCCTAAATTGAAAATGAGAGGGTGAATGGTCCATGCTTGAAGCCTTATGAAGATGGTGGAATTGAAGATGAGCGGGTTGCGATTCTCCTTGACAATGCAGACTGAAGATAAAGAAAAGTCAAGCTTTTTACTCTAATTAAGTGCTTCTTGGGAGGCAACCCAAGCTCTTTACTTTGATTTTGATTTTTTAATTTGAATTTGTGTTGGTTTGTACTTGAGTCATTCTTATTTTCTACATTTTTTTTTTACTAGTGATGATGTGTGAGTTTCCCTAAATTCATGAATTTTAACTAGTGGTGTGTGTTGCCCATAAGGTACACTGAAAGTCTCATTGTTTTGCAGGAATTTGATTTCAAAGATGGAATGAAACGAGAAAGGTGGTTAAACTTTCACGCTTATCTCACTATTGCAAAAGGGGGTAACTTTTCTTTTTCTCTTTTTCCTTTCGTTTACATTTGTACATTAGGGACAATGTAGATTTTAGGAAAAATTTTGAAATTATGGATTTATGAGAAAATTTTATTTATTTATTTTTATTTTTGTGTTATGTTTTGAATTTTGGTTCTATTCTTGGATTAATTTATATGTCTATGATAGGAATGTAATTGCAGTAACATGTAACAAGTACAAGACATTAATTTTTGTCTTTAATTACGGATAATTGTGAATGTTAATGACATTTAGTTTGAGGCCCTAGTGGTTTGTGAATTGAAAGTGGTTAAATTTACTTACTTAGAGAAGTTTCATTTGTGATTTTTTCATGGATATTTTTGTGATCTCAACAAACTCTAGAACTTATTTGACAACCACTTTAGGCGAAATCCTAGAGTTCACATCATTTAGGAAATGATTTAGGCTGTTTTTAGACCGATTGAGCCTTTCAAGCTAACCCTTTTTATCATCATCGCTAGTTAGCCATTTGAGCCTTTCTAAACTCAATTTAGCCTTGTGTTTCTTTCTTTGAACTTAATTTTGACCCTACCCTGATTATGAGCCTAAAATACAATCTTACCCATTTTATCTTTAAGAGATTTAATTGTAATTCAAGCTTATTATGAGTATTGGTGGAGAGGTGTAGTTTTGCCACAACCCAAGTTTATGCGAAGAAATAGGTTAGGGGTTGTGGAGTGGTTGTAAGATCAAGGTGGGTGTGTGTGTTTTTTCTACTTTCTTTTTATTCTAAAAAAACAAAAAAATTGAAAAACAAAATCTGAAAAAAAAAGAAGAAAAGAAAAGTGGGCATTGAAAATCATTATGAAAATGTGAAAATTATGCAAATGGGTTTATTTTAGTGTCGAAAAGAAAGAGCTTGATAAAGGTTGGGAAGCTGTTGAGTGAAAATGGGAAGTGTTTTTGTATGATAGTAATAAGAATGAATGAAGATTAAGTCTCTTAATTTGATTTTTGTTGAATTCCCTTTCCATTCTTTCATGAACCCATACCCTGGTCTAATGTTACAACCTTTACAAAGACCTATTAATACAAGGTAGTGTGAACTTGTACATTAGTGGAGAGTAGTTTGAAAAGTTAGCCTATAGAGTTTGATTCCATGATACATAAATGAGTAATAAACCGAATACTGAGATTAAATTTTTTTCCATGAATGTTATGCATAAAACCATCCGGGTTTGTAGACTAATGGTTTGAGGTTGTATGGATGTACTAGGGTCGATAACGAAAATGGAATTGATGTTTGCATTGTCTGTGGTTTAGGCGATTTTTAATTATTCTATTTGTTTTGTGTATATGCGATTTCTGAGACAACTTTATGAATTGATTCAAAAAAATTTGTTTGTTTTTGTTCTTTTTATGTTTATATTTATATTTTGGAATTTAGGTTAAGTTTAGTATGGATGTTTGTGGGTATCATTGCTGGAAACCCTCATGAGACTACAATTCGACCAACTAGGGCCGCCTAGGGGTTTAAAGGCTTGTTGCATACACTAAATGCAATCGTGTCAATCTACGAAAGTGATTAGGATAGTTTAGATATAGGTTTTAATTGTTTGTTTTATTTTCAAGCTTAAAGATATGTTTTATCGCTTAGTTTGCTAGGGACTAGCAAGAAGCTGGTTGGGGTTGTGATAAGAGCTTGAAGATACGTGTTTTGTTAGTGATTCAATTGGATTATTTGTGGGAAAATTTGTTTTAACTGCAAAATTTGAGTTAATTACTTCACAAATATATTTTATGGGATCACGGGTGTATTTTGAGTATTTTCAGGTTGTAATTAATGTTTGAATGAAGAAGGCTAACGTTGATGAAATTTTTGATGAGTAGAAACAAACAGTGCAAGAATCGGAATTAAAATGAGGAAGTTATGATGCATTGAAGATAAGACTTAAAACGTGGAAATTCTTCAAGATGAGCATACTTCAATATTTTGATCATAACTTGAGCTATAGAAATCAGAATTTGATGATTCTTGTGGCGTCGGAAATCTTATTCAGAGGGCTACAAATGTTATGTTGATGAATTTGCTAAATTCTGAAGATATCAAACTCGTGGGACAGAAAGACCGATCGCCATAGCACCGATGATGAGGCAAAAGCCCTGCTGAAGTGGCGTTGCTGACTTGGAAAGAAATTGTTGATGTATTAATGATGACATGGCAAAGGAGCGAATGACACAGTAGGGTCAATGCTCATGTGGCAATTTTGACAAGGCAAGGTGTGTGCGGAAGCGTGGCAAGGGCAGAGGACTATAATGGCAAAGGCGGTCCTAGATGGCGTAGAACAGTAACCCAAGATAGTAGTAAGTGCTATGCTGATATGATTTAATATGCACCAAGAAAATTCCTAGGAAATTGGAGGGGTCACAAACGGTCCCACTTAAAACCCAAAATCATTAGACTATTATTGTCTTTGTGACAAAATTTTCCTAGACACATGCATATAACCATAGAAATAGCAACTCAATATCCTAGCTGAGGGAGCCACTCCAGCAAGCTCCACCTAGAATTCTTGTTTCCCTGCTTTGGAAAAAAAGATGTTCCTCTTGAAATCAACCAAACCAACCAAAAGTAAGGAAGTCCACTTAAGAACCAGAGTTAGAAGAATTTTTGAGTTTTTGTTCTGTCTGCCCGCCATAGTTTTTCTTGTGGAGGAAGAGAGGAAGTTTCCATATTAGTGGACTGCAAGTTCAGGCAATTTACATGTGAAACAAATTACTATTTGTT